CATCCATCCATCCATCCATCCATCCATCCATCCATCCATCCATCCATCCATCCATCCATCCATCCATCCATCCATCCATCCATCACAACCAGCCTGGGATTGCTGAATCAGTCATCCGTAGACTGAGTCAATTATGTGTATAATCCCTATAATGAGATTTCCTGTGGTACCAGGGAACACTTACCCTGAGGGGCAGGAACTCGTGGTACATTTCTGTAGGAAAGGCCATGCTGCTGAACAATTCCCTTCCTTTCATTCACTGCAGCTCAGTCTCCTTTTCTCTTTATTTCTCTGAAATACTCCAACGACACATACACAAGCACACCCAACATGCACGCGAAGACCCAGAACAAATACAAGCACTCAAAGAAAGAATGGACACAAGCTAGATGGTGCTGGGAAAAGTTATTCATCCTAATGTCTGACAAGTGAAACACCATTTTATCTTTGATGATAACAAATAAAAATTAAATTCAGAATGAATTAATATGATTCTCTAAGTAAGTAAATAACGTATTATGTTTTTCTTTCAAGATATCTCTTGACAAGATGGCTAATATATGTATAAAGATGTTTTTTCCATCTTCATTAAATCAACTTCACTGATTTCTCGCTTTTGTTTTTGACTGTCATAATGAGAATTTTCCACTTCTCTGCTCTCTTTTGGGATTTGCTCATGCTGCTTATGACAGATGCCCTCAACCTTTGAAAACAGTTGTTTTTAGCAGCCATCAAAGCAGGATTTTTTAATATGCTACAAGATTAATTCCAAGCAGTCTTTTTCCGGCTAAACCATTAACATTAACCCCCTCCCCACCCTGTGGCTCCCCTCCTACGCCTGTTGATGGATAATGGTGCTATATTCCCTTTGGAGCAGTATCTGTACGAGGCACGATCTGTGAAGAGACGTGGGAGGTCACGACAATCACGCCAGCCCCTTTCTGAGCTTGCTGTGCCTTGCTGTGCAAAAATGTGAAAAAAAGTGTGCACACATAAGTCAACATACATAGAAAATTGAGCTTTTATAAGATCTTCTTGTAGTTTCACGCACGTTTCACTGCTTGTATGCAGTAATTCCATGTTTGAAAAGTCCAAGTGGTCAAAAACTGTGTAACTCAGCAAATTATTTCTAATTTACTATGACATTTAGTGCCATTCTTTGCTAAATTTGTTTGGCAGATAGTTGCTCAGGGAATTAGAAAGCACCATATGTACATTTCTCTGTCGTTACAGCATGTCTTGGCAAGGCAGGCTTTTTATTATCTCTAACTTTTACGATGCTTCATGTATTTTGCAGCCTTTCTCTGTGGTTGCATGTTCAAACAAATGTCTTCTGCTCACACAAAACTGAAAGCGTATGATGTATAATTCTGAATGTGTTGTTGTGGGTGGGAGCGTGACATGGCGCTATATTGTTTCACTCTAATCTGTATGTGGTTATCCGTATTATTAATTTCCATGTGTTTTTTTGTCCAAATCGCCAGATGTGTTTGCGTGTGTGTGTAGCTGTAGCTTTCCCTCCTCTTTGTGTCCGTGTGTGTGTGCATGTTGCAATGATTAATGAGTCTGGATGACTGCCTGTGGGCTGAGATCAGGTGCAACAAGATTTAACTTAGCAGAAAACAGTCAATTCTATTCCTACACATTCAATTAACCCGTCCCTGTGCACTTCTCTCCGTTTCCTCAGCAGAGCCATTCATCTCTGAGCACACACATCGCTCCGCTCACACTGTTGAGAGCTCACATTTAAATGCCATCTTTTATTTGAAGCGCCTTTGTGTTTGTAGTAGAAGATTCACACTTAACATTTAGAATTAGCCTTTGAGTTCAAGTAGTTCCCTCTGGTGAGGAATAAAGCCACTGCAGCTGATCTTATTTAGTCATTGACTAAGACACATGGTTTAAAGCCTAAGAATGAATTGAAAACTGATATGTTTTCCCATGATTGCTTCAGCTTAATAGTTTGATCATTTGGTGTTATTCATTTGCTTTTGTGTTTTCCGTGTCTTTTTTTGTATTTTCAAGACAATTTTTTATTTCGTTGATTTTTTTCTTGATTTTTGTTGTTAGACTTCAGGGTCAACACAAAGCCAACTATGTCAAACACAATTTTTGCCACACAAGTGTCTTCTTGTATTTCTTTTACCTTGGTTTACTTTTTTTCTAATGTAATATATACATGTAGTATGTTATAGTATATATTTTTTTGTTGCATGATAATTATGAAAAAAGGCCTTTTTGGTGGATGTCGACCATAGGTGGAGTAGTCTTATATTTGTGTCAATTTCCATGTACGACAAATGCTTCTTCCACTAAACCCCAATCATAGATAATGTCATCTATACTGACCCCCTCTGAAGACACCACGATAGACATAATGGAATGTGGATATTTTAAACTTTTTTATATATCTTCCTGATTTTTATAACCTACTTCTGTCTTCCATTTACAGGGTGGAGCTTCAGTATGGGCTCAGCGTACCAGTTTCACAGCTGGAGGGTGTTTGTTGTTGTCTGTGCCCTGCCATGTGTGTGTGCTGTGGTGGCTCTCACCTTCATGCCAGAAAGCCCCAGGTTCTACCTTGAGGTAAAGTTACCTTTTTCACTTACAAAGTCTTCTATCTGGTCTTAGTCTCTTCTGAATCTCTATCAATCATACCCTTAAGAAGGATGTGCCACAACTGTATGTGCTGGCCAATTTTAAATTCAGAATATGTTGAGCAAATTCGGGATGCTTAGATATTTTCCAGTAGATGTCTGATCAGGCCGAAACAGTGTGAGTAATGTAAAACTCTTTAATTAGGCCTGTTGCCTGTGTGTGGAAAACAGAAGCACAGAGATCTGTGACGCTAGGTTGGGTGCCGCAGGATAATTAACCCTTTGAAGTGAAATGAGTCACTATTGTCGTGACTCTCATCACAGAGAAATCAAAGGATTATATTCATGTACAGTAATTGTGAATGCCAAGCTGTTGCTGTGAGACTGGTTCCATGAATATATTTAATCTTCCCTCGTCTCCCCCTGACTTTCCTTCCCGTCAGGTGGGGAAGCATGATGAGGCCTGGATGATCCTCAAACAGATCCACGACACCAACATGAGAGCGCGTGGGCAGCCGGAGAAAGTCTTCACCGTGAGTGTTTGTTTCTGCAGTGTGTAGTTTTGGATGGTTTTCCCGACGCTTAAGGAAGCAAAGAGGCTTATATTCTTCCACCGCTGGGGCAGGTTTTAATGCTTTCACTGTGCAGGATCACGTCTGAATTATGATGCGTCTGAAAGCCGTTTTATGTCATTCAGGCTTATTAGCTGCATGAGCTGCACTTTGGGAAAGCCGCTTAGTCAACACATGTTTCTTGAAAGTGATCGTTAACTGTACGACACATTTGTATTCATAATTTTGATTCTGATTAGATCTTTGTTGCCTTCCATGTTCCTTGTCTCCTTCCGTCTTTTGGAAGCATGTGAAATCACTGCAGCGAGAAAGCAATATTACCCTGATAAGAACTAAAAACTTGTACAATGACTCCACTATTAATTTAACAGGTAAACAGGATCAAGATCCCTCAACAGCTGGATGAATTGGTTGAAATGGAGTCCGTATCTGGAAACCCTGTTTCCAAGGTTTTCTTCAGGTTAAAGACTGAAATACACGGGGTAAATATTTATCTTCTCACTTAATTTTCTTTTATCATGACCCAATTAATATGATTTTGGTTGTGTGAAATCTTTCCAAATTTAAAATGTTTTTTTATTCCATCTAAATCCTGATACATCTCTCATCTTATTTTAGATCTACCTGAACCTCATGAAGTGTTTTCAGTACCCCATGAAAGAAAATATGGTGCGACTGGCCATAGTGTGGTTCACATTGTCTTTCGGGTGAGATTCTTTCTGTTGTAGTGTTTGTCACAGAGACACGTTTCTTTGGTCAGATAAATGCTCTTGTGAGTCAGGCTGGCGGCAACATAGCATTCCTGTCATCCACTGACTCCACTGTGCAGAACCTGCCCGGTCTCAAAATCAGTCAGAGTCTGGATCGAAACTGTTTCATTGGTGGGTGCAGAGATAGGAGAGAGAGAGAGAGAGACAAAGATAAGAAAAAAAAAGCTTTTTGAGATAAAAACGAAGTGGCCTGTGTCTCCTGAAATTTCACCGCATCTCTCTGTTTATCTATCTGTTCTTCTACTGGGCATCAAACTAAACCAACAGCCTATTACATGTGCTGTCAAACATGGTAACCTCACATTCTTGTGTCCTTGTTATTGCAGGTATTATGGTCTGTCTGTCTGGTTTCCTGATGTCATCAAACACCTTCAAGCAGATGAATATGCCTCCAAAGTGAAGCTCCACAACAATGAACGCATTGAAGGCTTCACCTTTAATTTCACCCTCGAGAACCAGATCCACAAAAATGGCCTCTTCATTAATGACCAGTAAGATGAGTCAAATTACCTGCAAGGTTGAAACGTGGCAGGGCGTTACAGGAAACCATTCAGTCTAAAATGCCAATCACGCTGTGCTTTGAGAGGATCATAAGGCATTTGCAGTATGCAAATCAGTAGGGCAAAGGCGGATTACTGTGCCTCAGTTTAAGTGAACATGATGTTACTTCCTCAGATTCGTCAACATGAAGCTGAGGTCCGTCACCTTTGTGGACTCCACATTTCGTAACTGCTACTTCGATGATGTCACCTCAGTGGGCTCCTTCTTCAGAAACTGTACTTTCATAGATACATTCTTCTTCAACACAGGTAAGTCGTTACAATTCAAAGGTCTAAAACCTCCCAATGTAACTTTAAGGTCAAGTTCAGATCAAAATTCCCCTAGTACATCCCCCAAAGTTGATTCTGTAAGCAGCTCAGTGAATACTGTCTGGTTGCAATATAGAAATATAGTGCCGTTGAGGTGGCTTTTTCAGGAGGAGTTTTACTTATTTCTGACCATACAGCGGAATCAGACTCGAAATATTTGCAAATTTTCTAAAAACAATCAAATCTGGTGTTGTCTTCCTTGCACAGTTTTTATCCATTTACGAACAATTCTGTCTTATCTTATATTGGCTGCAAATTTTTTGTTGTTGTAATTTTTCTCTTCACATTTACCAGTTAAAAATATTTTAGTTTTTCGCTTGTATTACATTTTTGGGCAGATATTGATGATTCCAAGCTGATTGATGGCACAGAGGTGATCAACAGCACTTTCACCCACAACAAGACGGGATGCCAGATGACATTTGATGATGACTACAGTGCCTACTGGGTTTACTTCATTAATTTCCTGGGGACCTTGGCTGTTCTGCCAGGAAACATTGTGTCTGCCCTTCTCATGGACAAAATTGGGCGTCTGTCCATGTTAGGTAAGAAGCATAATATTGTTAATGGAACTGGCCACTGTAACTGAATGGCCAAATGATTCACAAGTTGGTCCACCGAACACTTTAAATGTTGGCTTTTATACACGTTTGTCCGTCCATCAGGTGGCTCCATGGTCCTTTCTGGCATCAGCTGTTTCTTCTTGTGGTTTGGAACCAGTGAGTCCATGATGATTTTCATGCTGTGTCTATATAATGGCCTGAGCATCTCTGCCTGGAACTCATTGGATGTGGTCACGACGGAGTCTTTCCCCACTGTGAGAAGGTGAGAAAAAAGTGTAGTGAGTACAGTAAGAATGGATTTTTTAAATGTATGTTTTCGTTGAGTGAGCTTTGATGTGCCCCACCCACAGGGGAACCGGCTTCGGGTTCTGCAATGCTCTGTGTAAGCTGGCGGCAGTCCTGGGGAACCTGATTTTTGGTTCCCTTGTCGGCATCACCAAAGCCATCCCCATCCTCATGGCATCGTCCGTGCTTGTTGGTGGAGGTCTGGTCGGACTCCGCTTGCCTGACACCCGGGCAAATGTCCTCATGTAAGACCGGCCTGATGTGCGACAACTGGGACGAAAGCATTGAGTCCTTGTGGAAGAAGCGAAAGCTATGGATCAGGCGTGCAAGTGGCTTGGTTCATTCGATTCTTGAGACTATTAATCACATTTCATTAACATACCGTAGTTAAGGCAAGTATGCTGTCAAGCTTTTCAGGATTTATGGCTTTCATCATAACAAATCACATCCCTGTGAAGGTATTAGAAGCTTAGTCCTTAGGTGGATGATTTGTCTGGGAGTTTCACGTGACCGAGACGAGGTTGCTCAGGTTTTAGAAGCTGCAACTTTGGTTGGAGTTTTGTTGAAGTGGTTTCGCCCTCCAGCTGCAGTCATAACCTTTCACAGACACAGCGCATGGTTGAGGCTCAAGGCTTTTAATATTGATACAGTCTTGTTAAGACAAGCCAGATGGGGGGGAAAGTGAAAAACAAGCTGTAATGAGCACCACCAACCTGCTGTGTGACAAGGCAGGGAATACATGATCAGACAGACAGGACTCATTGACAGCTGGCTTACCCACAGGACCCACATATAGAACACAGGGCGTGTGCGCAGAAACATGCAGAAGTGTACAAAAAGTGTTTAGAGTATAGAAAAAATGCTTGCAGATACATGACTTTTACCTGGAATCACATGTTTCAAACGCTGGATTTAAATCATGATGTACGCGTAACACCATATTTTGATACATGACTTTTTTTTCCCCAGCATCTGCAACAGTTAAAAGAGGATCACTTATAAAGGCGACTAAGCCCTTTCCATAGTCCAACTATAAATAAAAAAGGCCATACTGGAAAAAAAACTATTTTCTTAAACCAGTTACTGTGTGTTATAGTGAATCTGAGGATGCTAACTTTATTTTATCCTGTTGGGGTGATGTGTGGATTATTTTGACCCAAATCTGGTATTTTCCCTTATGTGTCACATCATTACATAGAAGATTCTGTGATGATCTCCCCATTTGATTTAGATTTGTGTTGAATCCAGCTTGTGGCGGTGACATGTCCTGCTGCTTCCTTTTAAAATGCTAAATGGCCTTTTTTAAATGTGCCTCTCCTTGACTTGTTCAGTCAGCCCATAGTCATGTGCTGTTATGAGGAGCAAACAGAAAACAAACAGGGACTGAATAGGTTATAGTTAGCATTGTATATATACAACTTATGTGCACCATCAATTCAGATTTTTTTTCTAATTTATTTATTTATTTGATTGTTCTTCTTATTAGTGGTTTCTTCTTCTGTGCATGATTTCTAAATTATATGAAAAACCAAAAGGATGCCCCATGATGAAAACATCTTTAAGGAAACAATTATTTGTATTAATCTATTCTATTTTATTTTATTTGTCTGGTTGGTAGGTTTTGAAATAACTTTATAAACTCCAATTTGATTTACACGATTAACTAAAAGGAATTCAATTGAGGATAGTTTTTTTCTAACGACTCACCAAGTTCTTTGAAAAATGTCATAATTTATCTTTGAAAAGAGAATAATTCCTGTTGAAATTTAGAAATTCAATTCTTAGAGTTCAATGCCTATCTTTTAAGATGTATTGAGAGAATCTTATTTTGATAGCTTTATGAAATTGACATTTAGAAATTACATTATTTTGGATTGGATGCATACATAATATTTTATGCATATCATGCATATGTAACTGTTGCGTTCAGTCCTGTTTCATTTGTGCCTGTGTATCAGCCCATGTTCTATGACCAGTGATATCTGACTGTGGTTTAGGTGTGATTAGTTTTATTTTGACCATGTGATTTAGAATTTTAAAAGCCAGAGCGGGGCGTACAGGTTTTTGTATAAAAAGCAATGTCTGAAACCCGGTGATGCTGAGTGCTGACTGTGGCCCCAACAGAAGTTAGACTGATCTGCTCAGTTCTACACTGGTTAAAAGTTAGAAACAGACTAATGGCTGTAATTTGGAGAAACACAATTGCTTTTCATGTTTGAGGTATTTGATGTAAGATTATGTAAATATTATGTATATATCAAAGCTAATATAGGTGATGCTCTGAACAAAATATGTCAGAGCCGGTTTAATGAGTCATACCTCTCAATTTATCAGACTGATAACTCCATCCACCTTATCTCTGTTCTACATTTTTGTGTGCCCTTTGCTTTCGCCTGCTAATGCTATGTGTGTGGGTGTGTGTGTGTGTGTGTGTGTATAAAGTTGCATGTATGTCAGAAAAAACTTCAGTTCCTCCGTACTTACATTTGGGTTCTTCTTGTAAATTCTCCTGGCAGACAACAAAGGCAATATGCAGATTTTTGTCGAGGAAAAATGTGAATGTATCACTCTTGTTGGTTATTTTAATCTATTTTATGGAGGTATTCAAATGTATGTGGACAATGATGTTGTGAATATTAATGTGAAGGGCCTGACTGCCAAAAGATGACTGAGCTGTATGTTCAAAGGTCCATATGTGAGAAAATATGTGAAGATATATTTGCCAAATGATGCCCTGTGAATGACATTAGACACTGGAAATACAGGGACTACAGACAGTGCTGCTTATGAACATATATAATAAAATTTATGTTCTCTAGCATATTATATTGTGTTTTTATTTCACACGCTCCATTGAGTTCAGTCAGTGTTTTTAGAAAAGCTGCAAAGCTGCAGAACGTAAATGAACTATATGATATCTATACAATTCTGATGCATGAGGCATTAAAATTATTAAATTCACCAAATGTATTACTTTGCATGGATTTCTTCTGTGGTATGCTCTGAGTTGAGTAATGCTGTCACCTAGTGGCTAAAATCCCATGTAGAAACACTTTGCCTGATTTCAGTATTTCAGTTCAAAGGTAAATAGCAGTAAATTAACAAATAAGACTTATACATTGAATCTATTGACCTCCTTGATTCCGAGCTGAAATCATTGATTGTTTTGAGGAAACGAGTTTAAAAACTTAGGTTAACTTATTCAGAACTTGGCGGTTCAGCTTCAGTGGTTTTATATATGTGTGGGTGTTTCTTAATGTTGACTTTAAGGTTTCTTATCTATGTGTGTAATGTATATGTCTTGGAAATTTAAAGGATAACATAAACAAATTCCAAAATATGCCCTGTTAAATCACCCATTCTGTAATACATTTTTCTTTTACAAGAAATGTGCAGTATACGGTATATGACATCTTAAAGAGAAATAGTCCAGCTTTCTGCTAAATTTTTACCTGTGCCATAAACAGTAATGTTGAAAATTCAAAAGATTTTTTAGATACGTTAGTATCAAATTATCTTGTAATGCATCCTGTCTCCTCTTTCTTTTCACCCCCTGCTTAAATTATTCTGGGATTTGTGAAAATGAAGAACAAACATTTTAAGCCAAAAATGAATTATTGACCCTGAAGACGGTTTTTGCATCACAATATGTAAGAAAAAAAAAAGTGGAAGAGGAGCAGATTTTGCTTATCATGTTTCATGAAAAAACAAGTTTTGAATTTGGGAGTTTTGATGAGCTGGCGTGGCATAATCCAAAACAGGTGCAACAACTACATTTAGTAAATGTTTGCTGTCTGTTTTCAGTTGTCCCTGTCTGCTGTGTTACCTGCATGAGCACGTAAAAACATTTTCATTGTCCTGAAAAATGTACTACAGCCTAAACTGAAAAGGGCAAAAATGGATTGATAAACACTAAAAAAGAATCAGTGCCAAAAAAAAAGCAAAAAAACTCAAACTGGAATGCGCGTGAAGGCAGCACCGGACAGCTTCTGACCAGCAGGTGGTGCCAGGTGCTAAATCTACACCTACGGGCCGGTCAATCATTTCAGAGGGGAGTGAAGGCAAGATAACGCCAACCGGGAGCACTTTGTTCACGAAGAGGGCTAAAAGTTTTACACACCATGGGGTTTATTTGCTGCAAGTCACAGCTCGTATTTTCATAAAACTTTTGGGAACTCTTTAGCCCTGTTTTTCCGGCACCCCCTCCCTCTATTTAGACACAGCATTTTTTTTATTGACATCGTTATCCCCTGAGAGGCGCGGCTGACTGCACTAACGTTAGCTAGTTAACTGAAGTTATTTCCCATTCAGACCAGTCCACAATTTGAGGAAACGAGGCAGGATGAACCATGAAGAAACCACGTCGCTACAGAGGCCACGCTATGGAAGTAAGTGACACGGCGTGAACGTTTTAAAAAACAAAAACGACAGCAGCTCAAAGAGCGATTACTCGCGACTTTGCGTGGCAGTGACGGTCACCGGATGAGGACGAGCTAACGTGGGGTGCCATGACGGAGATGTGTGATGAGCAGCAGGTGGTTCACCTGCACCGAGCCTTAGTCGAAAGCGGGAGAACCGCCAGTCCGCTCAGTCCCACAAAGAAAGAAGAAGTAGTCACACAACAAACTGTCAGTGAAAGTTTGTCGGTTGGACGTTAAAGTGTTACAATAACGTTTGACGCTTGTTTTACTTTGTGTCCTTAAATGCACCGCGGGTTCTTTTAATGTTAATGTCAGGCTGAACGCCAGCAACGCAGCATGTCCGTACAAAGTTTTTTCTCATAGGTTAACCATTAACTTTTGATTTGTACTCATCTACATCTTGGGGCAAAATATGCATAGTCAGTAAAATCCCCTATATAGGTACCACTAATTTATTGATGGACTGACTGCCTCTGATTTGAATCCTTTGGTTTCATTGATCAGTTCGCCCCAGTGTGGGTGCACAGGAACGAGTGGATGGTTAGTTTGTTGCAAATGCATGTGCAAATGTTTTAATTGCCGTCAGCTGCAGGAAGTAGGGTAGTTTGGACCTCTCATCATTGGAAAAGTAAAGCTTTTCCCTTGGAATTATTTCATTAAATCTCACGTTAATAATGCTTCATGGATTTGCCTGTGGAATGGACCAGTCAAAATGCTTAATCTGCATTAATTTGTTGCTCCCCATCTGTCCCACTAAATATCACACCAGAGGACAACCCCCCGGGGCTTCACAAACCCACGAGTCATAATGGCTGAGACTAAAACTACGGACCAGTGATCAAGTGACACACAAGAACAACAAACTCATGCTGATAGTTAAATATAACGTGCACAGCAAGAGTGCAGACAAGTTCTTCCAGGAAGCGTGTGAGTGTGTTGGTTACGGTTGTGTGCAACGGCTGAGCGGAGGCTGCTCTCACTGCCTTAGAGATGAGCATTCATATGCGTTTTCCTCCAGCTCATCTGCACAGCTGCGCCACTTAATTATGGTCAGATAGCCGTAAAAATATGCTTACGTGGCCGTTAAACATTTCAGCCTGCTGGTGGGATGCCTGTGTGCCTCTGTATTTGTTTGGCCCGTGCCTGCCCTCACATGTGAGTATTATATGTCAAGGCTCTGCTGAGACTTTGGGAACGGATGTCTCTGCAGGTGGCTCGTGAAGCTACAGAATTGACAGAGTGCCCTTGAGAGGTTTAAAAGATTCAGAAGAGGCCTCTAGACATGAGACTTTTCCACTTCTGACCAACTTTTAAACTCCACACACACTGTAGATTCACATGTAAAAATTATTACGAAATAAAAACGCAGCAAAAACCCTAGATCAGATTACATTTCATAAAAAAGATTAATTTGCTTCATTCAAGTGGGGCCAGGTCATTTCTTCAGGGACAGATGGACTCTATCCCCAGGAACCCCCCCCCCCATTTTAAAAAATATTATCTAAATTATAGATGTAGTTAGTTTAATTTGCCTCAAATAACTGTAAATGGTGTATCTTCATGCGCAAACAGTATTTTTATTCTTATTAATTTCCTCTTTTGAAATGAGGTTGGAACCCTGAAACATCAAGTGAAGCCCCACCCTCAGGCCAACACATCTGTGGGACAAGCATCTATCCTAAACCATGCCCCCGCATCCTTTCACTCGTACAGAAATAAAGAGATTTGACTGGATGAGAGTGGGGGGTAATGTGTGTAGGGGGAGGAGATCTCATTAAGATGTAGGTATAGATCAACTGTCAGGAGAAGCCAATCGTCAGCAAAATCTTCTAATCTAGTTGAAGTGTAAGTGTGACATACAGATTTAAGAGATTTCGCCTAAACCTAACCAAAGCCTGTTTTAAGTGGTCGGTATTGAAAATCAACAGACTTTGTGTCACTTGTTTGTCTTACTAGAGCATATATGTCATCAATACTAATAAGATACTCAACAGGTTATGACACAATAATGAGAAGCAATTAAAGGATTTTAATTGCGTTTGCTTTTTTAAGCTATACAGGATGATGAGAGGCTGTCGGCAGAGGAAATGGATGAGAGGAGACGGCAGAACATCGCCTACGAATACCTGTGTCATCTGGAGGAGGCCAAACGGTATGCCGGGAGAGGAGCAGGAGGAGGTGGAGGGGGGAATGTACTGTGAAGCTTAGATTATCTTCACCAGAAACTGCCTTAAGAGAAGTTTCTTTAATCAGCGTGCCTTGTCAAAGCTTTGATCATAAGAAATATTATGTTGGTGCATTCTTCACATTGAGTAGTTTTGCTGAGTTTGAGTTTGTGTTTAATGAACGGGATGCATACATGAAGAACCATTTGCTTGAAGTTGTCACAAAAGCTGAAGAAGTGCTTATTTTGTTATGATGCAGAGCTGTAGAGAAGGGAAGACAGATAAGCTGCTGGGAAACGGTCTTTTAATTAAAACAAAGTTTACATTACAACTAAAATGAACCATTGTGAAAGCAGTATAAATCTGATGAATCTTTATAAGGTCCCTGAGCAGTTTCAACAAAACCACTTCCTGTCTTCTTCTTAAGGGCATCCGACTACACAGGAGGAAAGGAACAGGAAGTGAGATCAAGCCTTTTCTAACATTGTGCTGTTGTGGCAACCTAACCTAGTCACACAGACCATTTCCCAGGATAGGTTTTGCTAAAATCCATGATACAAACAGGCTTTTTGCTCCGACACTCCTCTGTCCTTTTCTTGGAGGTTTATTTGTGATGACTAAAAATGCACTTTGACTTTGTCAAGACCGTTCAGCTACATTATCTTGTTATGTCACAGGATACTAAGGGTTTACAAGCACTACTTGGAGTGTGACACTTTTTATAGTGTATTGTCAACACTTTAGCTAAGTTCTACCTGATCTTTTCACTGTGTGATTACAAAAATATGTGGTGATATACCAAGGTCACTTTAATGAATTAAAAAAAAAAAAATTTAATTAATTAATTTCATGTATAACTTTTAATGTTGATTTTCCAGCTGCCTCTTGGCTAGTCTAGTGCCAACTGAATGACAGTGCTGCAGTGGAATCTCCTGTCTGTGAAAAGTGTCAAGTTAAATTAGGATTAAACTTCCTGTGGTGAATCTGTAAACTACACAGTGTCGGATTAGGCACCGGCCTCAGGAGTCAGGGGCCTTTTGAATTAAACGGTTGCTGAGGCTTTGCCTCGGTGGCACGTGCTGACTAATCAGTTATCTTGGGCAATATGATTAAATTAAATTTTCTGGTGTTTAGAGAGTCTCTAAAGGCCTAAGATGGACAACATATATTGGGTTTTGTGCAGCCGCATGAAATATACAGCTGATTCCAGCTCCTGCAATGACCATGATCAAAACACCAAATGAAGATTATTTTATAGGAATGTTATGAAATCTCTCCAGTAGAGGAGCAAATAGCGGGGAAATCTGTGCCAAGGTGAACTAGTGGCAGGAAAAAACAAAACTCCCTTCTAATGTGTTTTGTGTCGACTCCTCATTGGATTACTCCATTGAATCTGATGGAAGTGTTGTTGATTCTGAGGCTTGTGCTTTAGGAAAGACAACCTTTGCAAGAATTCTTTTAATATGTAATTATTCTTATGAAAAAGGGCACCCTTTCTTAGCTGGAAAATGGTCTACGTGCACTTGTCATCTTTTAAAAAAAAAACTAGAACTGGATCAGCATAGTCTTATTTTCTTCCCTTAAGCAGTGGCAGTTTGCTTGTACAGCACTAAGCTCAGGATATGGTGACAGTGCACTGCCCAAAAAAGGCTCAGATGTGGTGGGATGATCAAACTTAGAAGACAAAGCATTTTTTTTGTGGCTCTTTACAGTAAAAATATACACTAAAGTAAATAAACAAGCAAACTTCAATATCAAATGTAGCCATTTTAGCCTTCCGACTGCTAGTTCTGATGTAGTTATCACCAAAACTCTTTTTCAAATGATATGGGGACAGTTTAAGAACTTTAACATCAATATTTCAAGTGCATTCTATTCTCATGGCTACATCATGGGTTCTTTTGATTCATTTAATTGAAATGATATGTACTTGATCTTAAATGTAATTTCTTCTCTGCCTACTGCACAAGATACTTGAGTCTGGACAGACAATGATCCAAACAGCAGCTCACTTGGCCCATGAAGGCGCACGACTTTGCACAAGTTATTATGTGAAGTTCATATAAACACAGATATTTGATGAGATCAGATGCATGTTATACAGAAGATTGCTTTATTGCTCAAAGGCTTTTGATCTCCAAACCCTGTCTCAGAACACTTACTGTCTGTTGTCAGTTGATAGACACACCCTGCGTCCGACCACAGAGACACACTCATGAAAGGTTTGGAGACTTTGTACCCTCTCTGGAGAGTAAACAGCCTATGCTGTACATTTGTGGCATTTTTTCCATTTGGAAATATTTTTAGTTTGCGTTGATATGAGTCCTGCCACATATCCTGAATTCATTACGCAGGTACTTAAACAGTAAGGGTAGTTGGTTTAAGAAACCCCACAGGATAAACTCACTACAGATTAACTTGAACGCTTGCAAGTCATTCACCTCAAGGCAAAAGGGGCATCTGTGTCCTGTTTTTGTCCTGATTTTATTCTGAAAGTTATGGCAGGATTTGGTGATCTGCATCTGCATGGACTCCTAAGATGTGGCTCTGGTTGCTCTATTCTTCATCTGCTGAGCAGCTTTTTGTTTATAAAAATAGGACCACCGCGTGGTTTTGCACTAGGCTGACATCGGACATCCTGGACAGGATTGTTATCAAGCTAATGACGCAACCTGTCTAATTTTTATAAAACGCAGATCATGTGATACATTCATTTCATACAAGATCGTCAGATTGCCCAACCCCTAGGCGGACACGAAAACTTGTGACTAGCATGATGCAACTGTGGAGAAACGTTGTGGGGCTGAAAGCTGTAGAGCTTGTGTTACTGATAATGTGGTAAAGGTGGAACAGGATTTTAGAGAAAGCTGTATTTGGTTTAGCACTGCGAGTCTCAGACTGGACAATGACAGGAAGGCCTTTTTGTGGAGGGACATAAACAGGAGTATTAGCCTGTCAGGCTTCAGGAGACATGGCTTCTATTGTTTTAAGCGCAGGATGGGAAGTTTCATTGGTGAGCTATATAAACCATGTTCCAGGATGTTGACTGCATTTTCAGTTACCAGTCATCACTCCTGGGATAACATTTGACCCCTCTGCCATATTAGCTATTGTGATTAGTTGTATAGTCATTAAGTCTCAGATGGGCTCTTCTGAGGCCCCAAAAATGTCTGTCTAAAACATAATCCTAGAGGTTTGGCTTAAGAAGATCACTCTTAGTTTACTGACCTTAATCCTTAACCTTGGGACAGGGCCAGATGAAGGCAAGAACAGTACTGTCTGATATAACTTACTGTTCCATAGGTTGATTCTGCCAGGAGCATAACATGCACACACCTGTGGATTTCTCTTCAAGTGCATTCATGTGCTGACACACATCATTTAAGTACCCGCACAGCCTTAATGAATCCAAACAAGCTGTTATGTGTGTACATGTGGGAGTGAGGGCTTCACTGTTGTCAATGAGGGGAGGCAGGATTTGCTGGTTTGAATGAAACCCAGCCACTTGCACCCCCCTTCTTTAGCAAGATGATAAATTTAGTCAGAGTAGTGGCCAACAAAGGCAGATTTTATTTAAGAAAATCAGGGCAGATGTGCAAACATGGCTGTAAATATGATGTCACATGTCGGCAGACAGATAATGTGTTACAGCCCCTCATCCCTCAGTGATTCTTTGTGCTCACAAATCATTCGCTAGTTGTTTGGAACGGGTATTCCTTAGTGTCTCTGGGAATAGCCTGGCTGAGGCTGCAGCCCTGAGGCCGGTGTTTAACCTTTCAAAGGGAGATGACATCAGTTTGAAATTATGTCAGTACTATTCTAACACACTTCTCCATCTTTTAGTTGCCATTTTGGATTTTTAGTCTCTTTGACCGTCTGAGAGCAGTAAAATGTGTTAGGGTTTAATCATTACACATGGAGAAATTCTTTGGTTATAAACTAGATTAAGTGATTTTTATCTCTGTTGATTTTCATTGCATTTTTGCAAAGTACGATAAGCTCAAAGCAAAGCCTGCAAACGTGCCTGTGGCCCCCTCTCAAAAGCATGCGGGACTTTGGTGTGGGTGTTGACTCAAACGGTGCCAGTTTCCATCACACCAGCAGACCATTAAGTGTAATGAATGTTGGAGCCTGTTTTGATCTGGGTTTTCCAGTGATTTCCTGCTGGAAAAAATATCCTAAATCAGTGTAATAAATGTTTTTCTTTTCCTATGTTTCTGAGGACTAAAGCTGATGATATCGTCATTTTGTATTCACATAAATCCATTTACTGGCCGTCAGAGTAGAATATCTAAGCGTGAGCTGAATCCACAGTTTAGAAAGGTGTGGTTTATATCATAAGACATTTTCTTGTATTTTTCTGAACTTTTCCACTTTAGCTTTTATCAGTACGGAAAACAGGTGAAGGAAAGTCCAATATTGACTGCATTCTGGCATTCAGCCACAAAGAATCTGCACTGCCATGTGTAGATATCACATGACAAAGTAAACAACTGGCAATTGCAATTTCACATAGCTGATCAATTTCAAGCTTTCAGACCTTTTATAAAAACATAATTTCTGATTCTGCTTTAAAAAGATTTGGAAAAAAATATTATTAAAATCATGAATGCCGTTATTTACCTCTGCTGAATGAACAGCAGTGTTAGTCACATCTTTTTTTTTTTTACTGAAAATTTCTTAAAAGCACGTTTCCGTATGAGGTCAACTAAGTTGCAAGACATGTTTATGAAAATCATCTGCCTTATGTTTTCTGTTTTTTGCGCTTCCAGGTGGATGGAGGCCTGCTTAGAGGAGGATTTGCCCCCTACCACAGAGCTGGAAGAGGGACTCAGAAATGGCGTTTATCTTGGCAAACTTGCCACCTTTTTTGCCCCCAAAATGGTGTCAGAGAAAAGGATCTATGACAGAGATCAGGCCCGATATAAGGTAATTCTTCTCCTCCCACTGCTGTCGGTGAGGTCAGACGTGCACCGCATTTGGATTTTTCTATTGCATCACAGGTCGGAAAGAGTGCTTCCAGTTTTTTTTTAAAGCGCTTCCTGACAGTTGAAAAGAGTTTTACTCAGGAAAAGGGGGGAGGTGTCGGCCCAGTAACATTCAATCACAGTAAATGTTTTTTAGGGGGAAACATAGTTCCCTGTTACAATCCTACACACAATCCTTCAGATTATTGAAGATTATTGAAATTAGCAAAGATCTGATGATGTTATAATAATTTCTTGCCATGAGATAGATAATTGAATGAATGATTGAATGAATGAATGTTTATTGTTTATTTCTGTGTGTGTACACTTCAGAGCAAAGGGCTGCACTTCAGACACACGGACAACACGGTGCAGTGGCTCAGAGCCATGGAGTCAGTGGGCCTCCCCAAGGTGAGAAGCTCAACCAGACTTCTACTCAGTTGTTTCATGGTGTATTTTTCAGTTTTCAGAAGGGTCACCAAAAAGTGGACAGAGCTTTGTCTAACAAAGGAAAATGCACTCATCCTGCTGATAGCATGCAGGCCTTCTACACGTGGTTATATGATCAGGTCACGTTTTTAAAGCAGACATTGTGACACTGTTGCTTTCTCGCATTCCTACGTATTGGTTAAAAAGGAGGGGCTTGTTTACCTGCTTCTTTTTTTTATTTGACACTTGTGTAGTGAAAAACAATAGCCACTACAGAAGCTACAAGTTACAGCATTCTCACTTGTTTGTTCAGGAGAAAAGTTTTTTTTTCATTTTGAGATTTGAAACTCTTTTTTGTGTAAATTTTGGAAAATGGCATCTTTTACAAATATCCAAGGTGACATTGACAGAAAAGTTCTTTGAACAAACTGGTCATATCTAACAAAGAAAAAAACAAAACAAATTGCTGTACTTGATGGTAGTTTAGACATGCCAAACAAAGGGGGTTCAGTCTTCCATCGGTGTGTGTGCTTGCACACATCAAACCTGAGTCACCACAGCCCTGTTCGTTGGACCGGTGATGGGTCAAATCGCTTTTGTTGCTGCCTGTCTTTACACTTTGACTCTCTTTGCCACTTTGGTACTTTCACACAAGACCTGGTTGCAAGTTACAAGTAGATTAATTTGAGCTCAGTGTTAAAAATGCACCACATGGATATAACACTGACTTAAAATCTTAATTAGTTAAGAAACAAATAAAAGTAATTTCCGCACAAAAACCAACCTCAATCACCTTGTCAAAATCAAAATATTGCACTAACCCATCAAGAAAGAAGATGTTGCCGTTTTCTTTTTTTTTCACAGTGCCGTTGGCTTGTAAATTGTTTCACAAACCTATCAACAGTCTTATATGTGCATGATCCAAAACAAATGCTACATCCTCAGTTTTGGCGTGTGCTAGTGTCTACATATTAAGAATAAAGGGCTGATACTCTAAAACCCGTATTAACCCTGATACATAATTTCTGATATAACACAAAAGACCAATCTTCCTCCCAGAAATTCAAAGGAGGCGGAATTGATTCACATTTTATAATTTCTTTTTCTGGCACTTTGCGGCAGCTGGGGTTCTACTTTCTGTATTCTGTAAACCTTAACTTGAAGAGAGACATAATTAATTAACAATAATTATTATAATAATAGTTTTGAACTCAAAATTCCAAAAAGGCTCTGGATAAAGGTAAGACTCAGTCGCAGCATTTTTTAGGGTCTAGCATCTAAAGCTACCCATGCCTTCATTTTCCTCTGCTGATCTTAGAGCAGGTCACATAGGGATACAGATTCAGCAGGGAGACCCAGACATTCCCGTCCCTGACGACATTCTTTTGCTCTTATTGGTGTTATCTGAAGCATTCCGGTGCCAGAAGGGATACACAATCCCTCCAGCATGTTATGCTCCTCTCTCAGGCCTTCCCCCAGTTTAAATGGGCCAAAACAAAAACCCCAGAGGGAGGCCACCAGGAAGCAGATGCTTGAACCACCTCAGCTGACTCCTTTTGATACGGAGAATCTGCGGCTCTGTCCTGAACTCCCCTGTTCTCATGCTTAAGCTTCTCACCCTGCTTCTAAGGCTGACCCCAGCCACCCTCTGAAGGAAACTCATTCCATCTGTTTGCACCCACTGTCTCATTGTTTCTGTCGCTGTCCAGATCAGTATGATGCAGCTAAAAAGGCTCTGATATCCCGCCTACACAGCTCATACTCCAAATCATGTCACAGGTTACAGTTGATGCCTGGATTTTTTTTACTTTTGAGGTTTTCCCATTATCAGGTTGAATGTGATAATTGTTGTAATGTTGTAATGTGTTGTAAGGTCTCTGTTAAATCAGGGCAGAGGGTTTAAAACAGAGATGAAAGTACATTAACTGTGACGTATCCTCTTCCAGATATTTTATCCTGAAACAACTGATGTGTATGATCGCAAAAACATGCCAAAAGTGGTATACTGCATACATGCGCTGAGGTAAGAACCAGTGGTTTTTAAAACCCAGTTTTTGTCCCTCTCTTTGTTTGGTTTCTTTTTTTTTTTTAATGCACGTGTTACCTCTGACACCCAAACTGCTCCCCTCTTTCTGGGACCTTTTGTTGGTGGCTTGGCACAGAAGCTTGTTGTCTGTTCCCTGAAGGTGGCACACCTGAACATAGAGGATGACCTCACTGAATGAATGTGGATAAAAGTTGCTCTCTTTTGATGACCTGAAGCTACAAGCAGATCAAATTTGTGTCTGATGCCTGTCTGTGCACCCTCCACTGGCTTTTAATGTGTCTAATTTAATTTAATTTTCCATCACCCCATGGTTAAACACTCAGGTTTGACTCCTATTTATTTAGCTACAAACACAGATTTTAGGGACAGCCTGAACATTTAATCTTGAGGTTTAGTAGGGGCTAATACTGCGCCCATTAAATATTGGCTTCCAATTTCTGTGCAAAAAGCAGAATTGGTGTGTGGCATTTGATGTGAAATAGAAACTGAAAATAGTTGCTTTCACACAGGCGAAGGTACCTCTTGTCAAACAAACATCCTCTGATTTGAATCACGTGGGTGGAGCCCTGTAGAGTTTAGCGCATGCAATTATAAGGTACTCACAAAGCAAAAATCTTTTACCCCACTTACTGATTTGAATGAATGTTTAACCAACCTTTTGTGGATCAAATAAGACTTAAATGAAACCTTCCAAGTGGTGTTTGATAAGTTGATTTTGAACTTGGTGATCTTATCAACCATAAAAGGACACCTTAACAAGCCAGTATGCCATTAACAGAAAGTGTTTGAGGGCTCATTTTTTGTTTATGGGTTGATCTGAAAAGAAAAGTTCTGTTTTCAGTGTTTGCTTGTATGGAGGGAAAGTTTGTGGTGGGACTTGAAGAAGTGAGGGGCATATCTTTGCCTATCTGACACATGCACTCATCCAAACACAGCCAGGGAGTGGTTATGTGTGCTGTTTGGACTGTTGTCTTTGTTGTAGTGTTTCGGTTGGATCCTGTGAGAATCGACTTCCTTCCCTCCTTACGCACACACGTGCACTTCCTTCCTACACATCCAGTCCCACAAGCTCCCAAGGAGTACTTTGCTTCCTGGGGTCCAAACCCACTGAGGCAAAGCAGTGGATGCTTTGCCTCAGGAGAAACATTTACTCAAATACGTTTTACCCCTAGTGATACTTTCAAAGTGGAAGGATCAGCTTTTCCTTCAGAGGAAAATGAACATGAAAATGCTTATTATTGTTGATTTGTAGTTGCTTCTCAGCTGATTGTTTGTAACCCATGTTCCCTGTAATCAGCCGCCCTCATTAACCTGAGTCAGCTGTTACTGTTAGTATCTAAGACTGAATCAGCTGCCTGCATGTCAAAACATTACTCCCTTGTATAAGCACATTTTAGATGGTTGTTTGAAGCCCCCTGTGTCCCAAGGACAGAGTGCATCTTATGTTTACTTACACACACACACACAGTGACCAAAGGGCATTACAGCCAGCCGCTACACCAGTGCAGCTCCAGTATGCAGGGCTCCTCTGATGCCAGGCCTTCCTTTAATATCTATAATTCATTATCCCTCATCAGGTACCTGTGGGAAGATGAAAGTTTAATGAAGCTTCCAATCACCTGCATATTGATTTCATTGCTTTGTGGTGGACAGTTTGCTGGTGGCTTACAGATGTCTGAGTCAATACTACCCCCCTGTGGTGTGAGAGGGGTATCGAGAGCAGTCGTAAGAAAAAGTAACTTGGAAAAAAGAGAATACTAAAGGGCCTTATTTTCATGACAGGTCATTAACATTCCTCATTATTTACCTGTTTTTAATGATTTTATTTTTTATATTGTTGATTTCAGCTTATATTTATACAAACTGGGAATTGCGCCACAAATCCAGGACCTACTGGGAAAAGTGGACTTCACAGGTAACAGCTTGTGCTGGTAACAGTATATGGTTTCCAGAAAGAGCCCATGGGTTCTATAAACTCCCATTTTCTTTGGAGAATTTTCACATTTTCATGACAATTATCTTTTAAAACCTTATTCATGACAGACATTTAGTGACAATTATCCTCTTACTGATTTTGTTTAAGAAAAGCAAATTTAGCAGTTAAAGAATGTAAAAAATATTAAAAGATTATAGAAATGATTAACCAGCACAATATTTCTACACACTAAATGCATGTATCCTTGAACACTTCCAACATGAAGACCCAGCTGTTTTTTTTGTTATTTGTTTTTAACCTGGAATACAAACAGTACAAATCTCTAATTATTTTGCAAATCCTTACTAAATGCCCAAAGCAACTCATCAAAAGTGAGCATTAGTTGTGATTAATGTACTAAAAAGTTTGCCTTCATAGTGTTGGACTAATAGGCTTTCCCCAATATTTTCTTCCAGAGGAGGAAATCAGTAACATGAGGAGTGAACTGGACAAGTATGGCATTCAGATGCCAACTTTCAGTAAAATTGGGGGAATCTTGGCCAACGAGCTCTCAGTAGATGAAGCTGCTTGTAAGTACTTTTAGATCAATTTTGTCTGTGTCAGATGAGATTTAAATTTTTGCCTTGATTTGTATGTGTGTGTGTATGTATATATATTTCTACATATATTCTTTAACTATGTCATGTTTAAATCATTCATGTTGTTTTCTCATGTCTCAGACTAATGGAACATGTGTAAACTCTGTTTAAAAAAAAATGTTTTAGTGCATGCAGCTGTGATTGCCATCAACGAAGCTGTCGACAGAGGTCAGGCATCTGTGACATTTGGTGCTCTGAACAATCCAAATGCAATGCTGAAAAACACCAAAGAAGCTTTGGCTCCAGACTACCAGGATACTCTGAGCCAGGCTAAGGCTCGTAAACAGGATCAGGCCTCAGGAAGGGTACCTGTTTCTCCTTTTACTTGGCCCTATATTTAGACTGGTCGCTATAGTTTTAATTTTTACAATTTATCTGAAAATAAGTAAAACTGCTGCTGACCCCAAAAATGTGCAAAGCCCGCCCAGCTTAACTTACCGATTGGTTCTGAGAGAAATTTGAGTGTAAGGATTATGGTGTTAAGATGAACAACTGAGATGATTTGTTTCAGAACATTGGAACTTCATCACACACCTTTTTCCATGCTTCAGATTATCAATAACCCTGTTCCTCATTCATGGCAGGATTTAAAAATGGTTAACAAAAGCTGGAGGCAATACGTCATTTTTAGAAACAAATATGGTCAACTTAATTTTGCCAAGTGTTTAATGACTCCAGTGTAATACATCCAGAGGCTTTGAAAGGGGCCACTATACAGCCTCGCTCCACAGGCCCCGCCAGCACATTCCACTCACTGCAGCGTCAGCTGTATTTACCAGACATTAGAACTCCACTCTGCCGGCCATATCTCGTCCCAGTCTCTTCCCACATACTGTACAAACAGAAATCAGCCATTATCTCCACATGGATAGGATATTGAAATGTCAAAGTCTGCTGGTGTGAGGTGTTTTTCTTGTGGTTACAGATCAGCACTGCGTTATGCTAAAGATGTGAGATAAAGATGTGTTTTGTCTTTGCCTCCCTCTGTTAGCGATCCTCAGTTGCTACAGAAGAGAGAGATGTTTATGAGGAGCTACTGACTCAACAAGAAATCCAGAGCTGCATTGATGTAGTCAACAGTAAGGATATGCCACCATCACCTTTTCATTTGATTAGCCAAAACACTGCTCTGCAGCTTGAATACTCATGTTTGCACAAAGAACACAGGGCCTCTGTGAACTGATTTGTAAAGACAAGCTGGATATGATCAGCTTTGTGTTGCTGCTAATCTGGAATGAACAGAAAATTCTGTAACTAATATTTGTCTTTGTTTTCCCGGGTTACAGTCCAAGCAGCAATAAGACAGGTGAATGAAGCAGTGTCCACCCAAGATGAATCTGCTCTGTTGGCTGCGCTCAGACTTGAAGCTCTGGCATTGCTGGGTGTTCATGAGACAAACTGTGGTTGCTACCTGGAGCAATTTACCACCTGCTGCCAACATAAGCCTAAGGTGTGGTAAGATGTGAACTGTTTGCTCAGTTGTTTGGAGCCCGTGCTCTCAAAAGCCAGAGAATGTCAATTTTTCATTTCAAGCTAGCAGTTTTACTTTTAATTTATTGTGCAGTGATGTTGTTGAGCGAGGTTTTGAACTGCTCTTATGGCAGCGTGAATCAGGCAGCAGGATAATTTGGCTCAATTTGCTGAAGCTCATTGTTCTGTGGCCCAATACAGGATTGTGAGGCTGATCCTAATGTTAGGACTGATCACTGCTATGAATATAAAGGGTTTATGAGGTATATAAATATGTACAATTTGAAGAAGAATGAATAAACATTTACATTTCTTTTGAAACCCACTTAGATTTTAATGTTTATTTTCTTTTTGATATCCATCATTATGAAGGGTTAAGCTGTTTTGTAAGGAGGAAGCTGTAAACCTGCTTTTCACTACTCACTGTAAAAACATGTTATTCACCCCCCGTCTGATTATACCTTTATTGAATAAAAAAACACCCCAGTTAGAACACATTGACTCATTTGCTGTCCCCTCACTCCTATGTGAAACAATTCTAATACTAATCTTTGTACTACAGGATGGAGGGAGGCCTGTGGTGCTTGACAAAGAAGAGATTCAGAGGGTTGTAAGCTCTTGCAATGACTTTGCAGAGGCAGAGAAACGAAGTAAGCAGCATACTTATATTTATTCTGCATTCTTGTTATTCATGTCGCTGAGAGACCAGTTTCAGAAACCGCTAACAAATGATGTAGGGTCACTGCTGTTATACAACAATGTCCCTGACAGAAACTGAATTCATTCAGTAGGAATATTTGAAGTTTAAATTTGTTTGACGTGTTTAAGAAAAAACTGAGCATGAGTTTGAGTCCAACCTTTTTCCATTTTTCAGTATATGTCCGTTTGTCTTTTTCAGAGCTTGAAGCAGTTGCAAGGATCAATAAAGCCATTCGTCTTGGCAATGCTGTCGAAACGGTGGAGGAGCTCATCAACCCTGAGGCAAAACTGCCAATTGTTTACCCAACTGCTTCCAACCTTTACCAGACTGAGCTCTTTAGTTTGCAGCTTCAAGGAGGACGGGTGAGCCGTCACATTTCAGATTTTAGCTCCAGACAGCCTATCCCACGCATGCTATGATGAATAGGCTTATAGCCACGTGTTCTTTAAATCAGATTAACAGTTTTTTGTTGCAGCAAATGCCATTCAGTGCTTTTGACGGTGAGCTTTATGTTTACTAGTCTGGACTGAGTCACGAGGAGCTGAGTGTCGCTGTGGAGATGCTGTCAGCTGTAGCTGTGCTAAATGAGGTGCTGGACACTAAAGATCCACAGGCTGTGATTGAGCAGCTGACAGACTCCCCACTGGGCTTTACCAACATAGACCACAACAACCTCAACAGGTAAGATGGTGGAATACTGCATTAATAAGCACATTATAACTTTTGTTAGAACGTAAGTCAGTCTAAACTTCTTTTTTGGAAGGTATTTCTTTTGCTGACATCTCTTTAAGGAAATCACCACACATGGAAGTTTGAAATTGACCTGCTTTAATTGATTTTGTATTTGCAAAATATCACATTCACATGACCCTCCTTTTAGGTATCTTCAGGTTGATTTCACTTAAATTTGTGAAACTTTGTCAGACACTTTATGCCACTTGTCCTCAGATATTCTGACATGCTTATCAAAGAGCGTGCAGAGTGTCTTTCCAAGGGCCAAGAATTTCTCACGTGGAACGATGTTCAGAAGTGCATTGATGCGGTCAACGTTCAGGTTCACGAGGAGCATGAACGTAAGTGAATGTTTCAGTATACTTCTGATTACATCCTGTCACCTGCTCTGTGCTTTGCTGCTCATCAAATCCGGTCATCGGTTAGCATGTTTGTCACCATAGAAACAGTTATGATAAGCACATAATTAAAAGATTAATGTTTGGGGTTTCTGTCTTCTGCTTTCAGGCATCATAGCTATAGCTGAGATCAATGAGGCGCTCAACTCAGACGATCATCAGCAGACACTAGCAGCCCTGCTGCTCCCCACAGCCAAGTTGACGGGAGTGAACCCGGCCACAGCCAAGCACTACCATGATGTCCTGCAGCACACCAAACAGCTGCTCTGCCAGGTAGTGTGACACAAGTGCTGCATGTCAGGATGACAGCAGATTCCTTCAAAAAAATCCTCCTTTGGATTTTGCTCCCCTTCTTTCTCCATCCTCATCAGACAGGCACTTGTGGTAAATTTTTGACATAACGTTGAGATCCTTTGCAGAAATCACACTGTCGCACATGTTGTTTCGGCAGATCCAACAGGGATTGTCCAGTTACCCTGGTAAAGTCAGGATCTGATAAGGTTGTTCGCTTCTTGATGGAGCTCTCAGGGAACATGTCTTTTCTTACTTGTGTTTGAACATCCAGTCTCATGTCGTAGCTAGTTCTCTCTGTGGTATCCTACGGAGGGAGATGAATTGTAGCTCTGAGCCTGCAGTCTTTGAAATGAGCACGCACAGGAAGGGATCCAGACAACTGTGTAAACAGCAGAGGCACACTGCTAATCTATAGTATCCATAAAGTCTATCGTCCCCACTGGAAAACAGGCAGATGTAGTGGGCTATATGCAGGATGCCACTGGGTGAAAAACAAACCAGAAAGATGACGAAAACCAGAGAGCTGACCCGAATGAACGGTCGCAAATCGCAAGAACTGTGTCCCAGATGATAAACCACTGCCCCATGGGCATAGATGCAAATCATGAAGGGAAGTATGAAGCCCAAACAAACTAGAACCAGCCTGTATGGCACCAGTATAGAATGGGGCTTTTCTTCGAGGGGAAGTACGTCATGACAGGTGGTGATCCCCAGCTGGGTGACCAGGTAGGTCTGCCTCACCAGAAGCTCGGGCAGAACAGCAGCTCCAAACAGGAGCCATACAACCAAGCAGGACCACAGTGCCAGCGTGGTCTTAGCCATCCGTCTGTACAGGAACGGTTTGACCACAGCCAGGTAGCGCTCCAGACTGATGCATGCAATAGTCTGAGCAGAACAGTAAACATTACCGCAAAATAAAGCTGTAATAAGCCGGCAGGAGATTTCTCCAAATATCCAGTCATTTCCATTGAAGTGATAGTGAACCCGCAGTGCCAGAGAAAGCTGCAGCAGCAAGTCAAACAAGGCCAAGTTCAGATAAAGAACTACTGTGGACAATGACTTTGTTCTGAGTCTTACTCTGAGAAAGGCCAGAATGTACGCGTTTGCAGGAATGCCCACGAGCATGGCCAGAATGTATGATGAAGGTATAACCCAGGTGCTGATGATCCCTGTGGCGTAGGCTGTCACTGGATCCTCTGGCTCTATCGACAGGCGAGGGTCTGTGTTTGGATGGAGTAGATCTGGCTGAAGGTTTGAACGGTTATTTTTCAAAATCGATGCTTTGAAGGTTTTTGGCAGTAATCCATGTTGGATTTTGGTTTTGGTTCTTGTTCTGTTCCCTTAAAAAAAACACAATTTTAGACTTTAGTTTACAGAATGATGTTCTGAAAGGTTAATAAAGTTGTTTTTTTTCTTTTAAGAAAAAAACGTCTTGTGACAAGTTATTACTATTTTGTAGGATTAAAGATACTTAAGGATCATATTTAACTTGACTTGACAGGTTCACAACATTAAATAAACAGTGCTTTTTTACTTAGATTTTAACTAGTTAATTATTAACTGCTAATGTGTGCCACAGTAATCTCATGTTTTGAGACTCACCTTCATGCTGGTTGCTCTGCATGGCCATCAAACAAAGAAGTAGTCCTGGCAGAAGATCAGCCATTCTGCGTCAGCTTAATGTCCCACAGCTTTTAAAGGTCCTTTGTCATCACACCTCTTGGTGTAGCTCCTTTCATGAGTTTTCCACTGAAAAGTCCACAAAAATAGGCTCTTTTGCATCTCTGCAGTTCAGTACCGTTTGAAAAAACATGGTCTGTGCTAAAGCTCATCCTCCAGCTGCTGTATGTGGCTCATTATCTGAACACAGTGCAGTGAGAATTTCCTGCTCTGGCCTGAAAACTAAATTCCCTTCTGCCTGAGTCAGGAAGTTCCCCCTGACTCACTGGGGTCGGGTGGTGGCTTCTCAGTGACTATTCATCAGCTTTCATTCACTTTGTTCTGGTGTTTACAGTTATTTCATTTTTTTGTTAGAGTTGGGTGTTATTGTTGCTCTTACAGTTTGTGGAAGTGGGTTTATTTCCCATGAATTCAGTTTTTGGATTTTCTTATTTTCCTATACAATGCCTTAATTTTGCTCACAAAACAAATATTTTTTTTCTTAAAATCGCTTTAACCTCTTTAAATATACCATTATCAATGCAGATTTAAACAAAGCTCCTTATTTTTGACTTCGGTCTTTTTGATTGAGCTTCCTTCCTGATGGCTCTGTGGTCAGGATGCACTCAAGCTCAGCACAGATCTCTAAATTTAGCCTGAGAACCAGCACAGTGGTCAAGCTGTATAAACATTTTTTCTGGGTTAGGATGAACAGTTACAATAAATACTTGTATACCTTTTTATGTCGCTCCTATTTCTGGACATGACTGTGTGGTACATGTTGTATTGTTATACCTGAGGAATGCCATTTGTGTGTTTTCCTCTAAAAAGAGAAGTGACTGTGTTTTTACCACAATGTAGAGCTCTGGTGATGAATCAGCAGTGCTGTGGCTCAACCAAATCCAAGAGGCCATACGTGTGGCTAATCAGAATGAAGAGGAGGCCCTCACCTGTATGTATCTACAAGTGTAGTTCATGTATATCTCAACTTGTTTAAGCCTCTGCTTATTAAAGCATAGTCAGTCACATGTGAAGTGGCACTGTGTAAGTAAATATAATTGATTTCGATGCTAATTTATCAAGGGCATTACAGGCTGGATGAATTTGAAAGAAAAATAACAAATAAGAAGAGTTAAATTAGAAGAAAATGATTGGTACGTTGAACAGAGACTGATTATAGATGCTGTGACAGAAATGTGCATGTTTTTCACAGCTTGCTGAGTTAACACTCATTTTGGGCTACTTGGCTTACTTTGCTCAGTACTCATTTTTAAATATCTTTATTCTTATTGATGCAGCTTGATTAATACATTTCTTTATCTTGTTGACCTTGGTAGTGTGTGGAGCAGTGGCTCATATCAACAGGATGGTGGTAGAAGGGGACTCCCTGAATACCCTGGAGGCTTTGCAGGCCCCCAGTGCAGAGCTGAAAGCAGTCCTGCCCGAATGTGCAGACACTTACCAGGCTGAACTCGCACAAAAGCAGACGATTAATGCGTCTACAGGTACGTTTGTCATTTCAGATCACTCTTGAATGTTCAAAGTTAACCCAAGGTAGCATGTAGGGCGATACTTTGGTGAACGTAACCATAAATTCTGTGTGTTGATGAAATTTTGTTTAGTTTGAGTCTGACCTTGAATTTGTCTAAATACATACTTTCTTCTCTCTTCCAGGAAGTGATAGTTTATGGGTAAGGCATTGTGTTAGTGACAGATACAATTACTACTATAACCTGGAGACTGGACAGGGCACCTGGGAGGAGCCTGAAGGATTTGAGCACCACGGAGGCCATCTCAATAAAGAAGATATCCAGGTAAACTGCAAAAGCTAAAGCTTGGCTTTATATTTCTGTTTGTCTCGTTAACGGGACTGACTTTACTACTTCCTTTCAGAATGTTGTTAGCTGTATGACTGCAGAATATAACAGGGAACAGCTTTGGCTGGCAAATGAGTCCTTCGTAACTCAGCTGCAAGCAACCATCAGAGGTTACCTGGTCAGGAAAAAGTACACTAAAAGAATGGAGTTTCTTCGGCAGCAGGAGCCACATGTTGTCAAATTGCAGGTAAGATGAGCGCAAATGGCTAATATACACAATTAAATTTAGCACATTTGGATCACTTGAATGTTGGATGTGTCTGCTAGAGTGCTGGTCTGTTCTTCAACCTTGAAGGTAGAAGACAATTTAGTATTTTGTTGTTGTTCTTCTTGTTGTTATTATTATTACTATAACTACTACTAATATATATATGAGCACCATATGGTTGTTTTGTATGAACAGGTAAAAGAGATGTGCGCTTAAAGTCACTGACAAACTAAGTATTTAAATTAAATCTTTCATTGAGAGAATTATAGACTGTGTTTAGTTATTCCTGCACTAATGTTGCTGTTACAAAACGCGCTTCTGGAATGCTGTTTCATTTTTGGTGTTCTCCCTTTTTTTTCAGGCTTGCTGGAAAGGTTACAAACAAAGGAAGATTTACAAAGAGAGGATGAACTTGCTTCAGAAAAATGTTGCTTCAGTGGTCAAGGTCATTGAAATTATTACTAAATAAAATACTGATTATTAATGTTTTAGTTGGAAAAGTATACTTTTCAATTGGCATGACTAAATTATTGATCCAGTTTTGAAACAATTTTTTTCTTTTCTTTTTTAGATCCAGTCTATTGTAAAAATGTGGAAAGAAAAAAGAAAATACAGCCGAAGGATTCAGTTTTTCAAAGATCATGTGAGTAGTGTTAAAGTCAGTCATTACTTTTTTTTTTCTTGATGCTCCAAACTCATAAATCTGTGCTTTCAGGAAAAAGAAATTGTGAAAATCCAGGCTTTCTTGAAAGCCAACAAGGCCAGAGATGACTACAGAACTCTAAGTGAGTGCAGATTGAGCTGAAATATCGACTATTTCCAGATTGTTTAGCACAGAGTACTGTGAGGTCTGAATATGTTTACATCGTTGAGCCCATGATAAATAGATACAATTTAAATGACTTGTAATGCTGCCTCGTTTGTCACATTTCAGCTGGAGCCACAGATCCTCCTCTGTCAGTGGTGCGCAAGTTTGTTCACTTGTTGGAGCAGAGTCCCCTGGATTTACAGGAGGAACAGAAGGTGACACAGCTCAGAGAGGAGGTGGTCACAAAGATTCGCTCCAATCAGCAGATGGAGAAAGACTTAAATCTAATGGACATAAAGATCGGACTACTCGTGAAGAACCGGATCACCTTGCAGGTGGGCAAAACTTGTGTAAAACAAGTTCAACACCTTATTGGTTGGATTATGTTTGCACTGTACCCTAAATGTATAACTTTCCTCTGTCTATTCCATTGTGATTGGTCTTATTAACTTGTTTCTTTTAAAAGGATGTTGTGTCGCATAACAAGAAAATGAAGAACAAGAAAAATAAAGCGAGTAAAGATGGCCCAATGAGGGGAGACGGGCTGGGTATTAAGGGCCTCAGTAAAGGCAAGAGAAGAAAACTGGAAGCCTACCAACATCTCTTTTACCTCCTGCAGGTAAGAGAGTCACTAATATTACCTCAGATTCTCCAATTTTAACACTTATTTGACACTTGTTAACTTAAAATGACCTTAATGGTCATTTTCAAATGCTCAATACCCACTGCAGTCTCTCTGTTCTTCTCCTTTAGACAAATCCCTCTTATCTGGCTAAGCTGATCTTCCAGATGCCCCAAAACAAGTCGACAAAGTTTATGGATACTGTGATTTTCACTCTGTACAACTATGCTTCTAACCAAAGAGAGGAATACCTGCTGCTTAAACTCTTCAAGACTGCTCTCGAAGAAGAGATCAAGTGAGAAATGCAGCCGTGTTCAATGTACAATCATTTACTGCGCAAGCACTTAATCTACACTTTTACTTGTAATGCTGGCCAATATGTGCCTGTAACATCCTTTTAGAATGGGCAGGGATTGTCCAGACATTTGAAATTTGTATTGTATTGGTTTGGTGATAACACTGACCCTTCACCCCTGTTTCAGATCTAAAGTGGACCAAATCCAGGACATAGTGACAGGTAACCCAACAGTCATCAAGATGGTGGTGAGCTTTAATAGAGGTGCTCGCGGCCATAACACCCTCAGGCAGCTGTTGGCTCCAGTAGTCAAAGATATCATCGATGACAAGAGTTTAGGCATCAACACCAACCCCGTGGACGTGTACAAAGCCTGGGTCAACCAGCTGGAGTCGCAAACTGGAGAAGCCAGGTAGCAGGAAAAACAGCTGGTGATCTATACCATGTAACCATAACATCTGCAGCTTTGGTGTGTCTCCATTTCGATGATTGTGCATTTGAAATCCATGTTTTTCTTTGTTTTTGTTAAAGTTTCTTTAAATACATTTCATAAACTTTCAATCAAAATATCGCAACACCAACAGTATTTTCAAACTGATCATTTAAGGAAATTATACATTAGATTCAGTTTCAAAAGGAACTTTTAAGCAGTCTGAAATGTGGCTGTAAATAAATGTTTGCCTTGTGTTCCTTTTAGTAAGCTACCCTATGAAGTCACCCCTGAGCAGGCCATGTCACATGAGGAAGTGCGCAGCAGGCTGCAGGCATCGAGTTTAGCTCTGCGCTCTGCTACTGATAAGGTCTTGAACTCCATTGTGTCTTCTCTGGATAATATCCCGTAAGTTCCAGGGCCTGTTCAGTGTCATGCACTTTCAGATATTTTTTTGCACCTCCTCTATACTTGTCACTCCATTTTATATATATATATATATATATGTATGTGTATGTTTTATATACATATAGCTATCTATCTATATATAATGTAGGTCTTTGTTTTTTCATGATTTGATGACAAATAAACTGATTTAGTAAATTATGTCATTGCCCCTTTTGAACATGGATCTCATAGAATGATTTAATGGTGCCTTTTTTTTCCCCACTCTATTTTTCTGATAAAAAAAAAGTCTTTAAAATATATCCACCTCACAATAATTTCCTTTGTGTATGTCCTTTAGTCAACGAGAAAGCCTTGCTATTCTGGAATACCACTAGATGGGGCTATTTCACTGTCTGGTGTTGCAGATGGAAAATCTCTAAACGTAGAATCTGTACCAGAATAAATACATAAAAGCATAATGCAGTTATAGGGCATTACATGCATCCTCCACTGATGTTTCATTTGTCTCACAGCACTGGAATGACATGTTTTGCTTTTAATGTCCTTTCTCTGCTTTTTCTTTTGCACATAGTTACGGTATGAGATACATTGCAAAGGTTCTGAAGAAAACCCTCCATGAAAAGTTTCCAGAAGCCTCAGAAGATGAACTGTTGAAGGTAAAAGCTGTTTCAGTTTGTTTATTTTTCCTCTCCTTGAAGATCACGCTGTATGCGTGTGAGGTTTTTCTTTTTCTTAATAATCTAATGCTTGTTTTTAATGTTAGATCGTAGGGAACCTTCTGTACTACCGCTACATGAATCCAGCCATCGTGGCCCCTGATGGCTTTGACATCATCGACATGTCAGCAGGAGGCCAGCTTCACCAAGATCAGCGACGCAACTTGGGATCTGTGGCAAAGATGCTCCAGCATGCCGCCGCCAATAAGCTGTTTGAGGGCGAGAATGCACATATGACACCCATGAACAACTACATATCTCAGACGTACCAGAAATTCAGGTAGCTCCCACCACAGTCACGCACAAACCTGCTTTTGTCACTGAAAACGATCTTTAGCGCTGAGAGGGAGTTCTTGTGGGTTAGGCTTTATGAAGGTTTGCACCATGTTCAGAAACACGATAAAGGGAAAATACCAGGGGTCAGGAAAGAATACATTTCCTTACAATAACAGACAAGAGGATGAAAAAATATCAGAGGTGTTGATAAACATGTTTTTCTTGGAGTAAAGTTGACTTTGTGGACGCAGAGGTGTTCCCGGCAAAAGGAGTCGTTATGTGATGTGTCAGCAAATGGAAGACAATTGGCCACAAAATGACACCAAAATACAGAGTACTGGGAAAGGAATGAATCGGGGGGGGGGGGGGGTCAACGAGTCAGTTTGAACCTCTGAGCCTGGCTGGAAAACTCCAGGTGTCTTTCTGTTTAGACTAACTGCAGCATGCCAGGCTTTGATTGACGGTCTCTATCTACTGATCCTTCCCTCAAGGCAATTTTTCCAGTCTGCATGTGATGTTCCTGAACCCGAGGAGACGTTTAATATCGACGAATACTCGGACATGGTGACCTTGAGTAAACCTATCATCTACATCTCAATAGAGGAGGTCATCAATACCCACTCGGTAAAAATTAAGAAATTTTCTGCAATTCAAGAGATCTTATGGTATGGCATTGGCTAAAACCTTGACTTCTGAAATGGTGTATTTAAAACTCAAGAGTTCCTCATAACTCTATCATGATTAGTTCCGGGTTCATGAAACAAACTACCTATACCTGAAATTTCTTTTTTAAATCTGAAAAGTGGTAACAAACTCAGGTTTTCACGGTTTTATCAGCATAACACAATTTACTGTCAATCTAATGAGAACTTTTAATTTTCAAATGAAACAGCTAAATGTATGGAAGGAGATTAATCTCATCTAGACATTAGCTGTAGTTTGATGATACCTAAAGAAATATGTGTTACATCAAAATATCACAGTGTTTTCTGTGAGTCAGTGCTGTGAATACTTAAGCTTGAAACACATCTGTATGCATTCAGCTACTTTTGGAACATCTGGAAGCCATCTCTCCAGACCGCAATGACCTGCTTCATGAGCTGCTTCAGGACCTGGGAGATGTGCCTGATATAGAAGAGTTGCTTGGTACCGCTGAATTTTGTCATTATGATGTTTATTATTTAGCTAACAGAATTCTTACCATTTAAACACGGTTTTTCTTGTTTTACATGCTCTGTGGCCTTATTCCAGGTGAAGGAGCTGTAGATGCAAATGATCCCAACAGGGAGAGTGCTCTGAGCCAGCTGGCAAAGACTGAGATCTCCCTCACATTAACCAGCAAGTTTGAACTGCTGGAGGGGGATGGCAAAGACCTGAAGACTCTCATTACAAAGTAAGCTCACAGCTGAGGTAAAAGGTTTGAGGCAGAGCCTCCTGCCACACTTGTTCAGTAGCCCAACTCCACATCGATCCTATTGGAACCCTTTCAGCAAAGTATTAGCTGCTGGCCAGTGCTGAATGTAAAGCCTGTAAAGTGAGTTCCACTGCCTGGGACGTAGTCGTTGATGCTGTGTGGTGTGCTGACCTTCTTACAGCAGCGTTGCTGTCTGTCTCTCTGTGACTGTCACTCAGTGGTTATACGTGTTGTCTTTCCTGATCCTATCATATCCTGTCCAAAAAGGAAGGGGTTTAGCAACTAGGCTTATCTTGCTTATAACATGCATCCGTCTAATTCTGTTTCTCAAGACTTGACTTGTCCTTTCGTTTCCCATAAATTATTGTGGATGCAGTGTTACTGAGTTGTTCATGTGTATTACCCTGTAACGTGTGAAGTTTTTATGATTCCCTTCAATAGTTTTGTGTGCAGTCACTGAGTCTGTGAAACCGTTGAATAATTTGATTAAAGAGGGTTAAAGAATGATTTCTCTCATCATGCCATAACTTTTATTGAAGTAAGCTAATTAGCCCAGCCTACTTAATGGAGATTAAAGCCTCCCTTAATATTATTTTATGTATTGGAGCATTATGATCTCATGATTTATGAAAGTATACTACTTAATTCCTGTGAACAGTTTCAGGTTTAAAAAAGAGAATATTAAAGAAATCAACATTGTTCTCAGCATGTCTGCAACTAGCTGCTGGCAGCCTGGAATTGTTTGTTTTGGTGACACCCTTAACGAAGTGAGATGCATATCTCATGCTGTATATTTGTCTGTTTATCAGGACAAAAAAGCTAATAGTTGATGTTGTTCGGATTCAAGCTGGAGAGACGTTGCCTGAAATTCTTGAGACCCCAGCTACTGCACCACAGGTCATATATCTCTTTTTTTGTGGTCTTTTTCTTTTCTCTTTTGCCCACTAATGAGCAGTATCGTACCTGCAGAGCAATGTTGTTACTCATCTGTGCACTTGTGTGCCTTAATTCCTGAAGGAGATGGAGCATACAAGGATTGTGGAGCGCAGGGCAGTCCAAGATGCTCAGACACCAGAGGGTCTGAAGAGTTGCCCCGCAGTGCTGGAGGACAGCCAGCTGCCTCTGGAACAGAAGAAGAGGAAGGTCCTGAGGAACCTCCGGAACCTCGAGCAAGCTGGCCTCGTCACTGTGTCCAACAAATACCAAGACCTCATCAACGACATAGCCAAGGTTGTTCTCCCCGTCTAAGGAGGCTTTCTTTCATTGGTAACTTTCATGCCGTCTGATTAGTTTAAAATCTGTGTTTCCCATTGACAGGACATCCGGTACCAAAGGCGATACCGACAGAGGAGAAAGGCCGAGCTCACCAAGCTGCAGCAAACGCTGACGGCACTAAACTCAAAGACTGAATTCTTTCAGGATCAGATGAACTACTATGATACCTACATCAAGACTTGCCTGGATAACCTCAACCGGAAGTTGGTTTCACTCTTGTTTTATTTTTTATTTTAATTTTTTTAAAACAAAGTTGCAGACACTGGACTTGTGACATTCTGATTCATTACTATTTTCTGCACCCAGGAATTCACGCAGATCCATAAAACTGGACAGCAAGGGCAGTAAAAAGTGGAAGCCTCAGTCCCTTAAGTACACTGCAGCCAGGCTGCATGAGAAGGGCGTCATCCTGGAAATAGAAGGTCTCCAAACCAACCAGTGAGTTTTTCTATTCAGAAAGAAAACACTTAAGTCTTTGACAGTGGTCTGACACCTCTTTAGAAGTCTCTTGGGAAAATCCAGTGTGAACAAAAGAGGTCTCAGGCACTTGATCAAAAAACAATTTGTCGTCTTTCTTTGTCTTTAGTGCGTTTCGATTTGTACCCTAAAGGGGTTTGAGCGCTGTGCTGCGGGATTTAGATGTTTCTCTGCTTCAGCATACCTGATTCAGATTAAATGGGTTTAGTTCTGCACAGGACTGCTGATGCTGTGTTAACTTTAATCAGGAGTTCCCCACCCCTGTCCTAAAGCAAGTACAGGAACTAGAAACTTGTTTTGATGTACCAAATGAGGATGTGCATTGTCAGCAAGTTCTGTGTAAGGTTACAGATGTCATCAGGGTTCATAATGATGCCACTTTTCACCTTTCCTTGTGAAGATATTTAGGATTCAATCAAACAGACAGAAGGATATTCAGAATTGCACCTAAACTATGTGAAGGCATAATTTCTCTCACGCATGCTGTTTTCTTTTTACTGTCTGTCCTGGCCTGCAGGTTCAAAAATGTCATGTTTGACATTTCACCTTCTGAGGAAGTTGGTGATTTTGAGGTGAAGGCAAAGTTTATGGGGGTTGAGATGGAAAAGGTCCAGCTTCATTTCCAGGTAAACATTTCCCAAAAGCATCTAAATTTCATGAAATACAACAGGACACCGTTCAGCACTAAAGTTCAGAGACAGTCAAATTTCCTGTTCCCGTCAACAGGGTGCTGGCAGGAAACGTGCAAATGGATCACATTTTACCTTCTCGTGGCCATACGTGCCAGATGCTTTCATCTGTTTGTGCTTCTCGACTCATTTCGTATTTTTCTGTCCAGGACCTCCTACAGCTGCAGTACGAAGGCGTGGCGGTCATGAAGATGTTTGACAAAGCCAAAGTCAACGTCAATTTACTCATTTTCCTCCTGAACAAGAAATTCTATGGAAAATGAAGGAGGGGGAAGAGGGCAAGAAAAGTGGGCTGGAAGAAACCGGTTGTGCCTTGTTAATACAAAAGAGGTCTGAAGACATCACATGTGGTAAAACTGTTCCTTTCCCATTAGCTTATAATTTAATGAATCGCACCAAATGAAGCACCAGCTTTGTCTGTTTGTTTTTTTTGCACGTGGTGATTGTATATGTTATTTACTTTTAAGAAATAAACTGTAATGATATTCATATTTTGTAAAAGATGAAAGGAGAAACCCATATTTGTAGTAAGCCTGAAAACGTTGCTGGAAGTGTCAGAGGAGCAGCAGTGTTTGGTTCACCGGCCGCCTGAGAAGAGCTGCAGCCCTCCTTTGCCTTTTTAACCTCGGACAGAAACCTTTTAATCCAACATAAAAGCTAAGCCTGATGTATTTTTTAAATATATGGAACATTGTGCTTAATAAATTGCATAAATCACATGTTCAGAAGTTGTTTGTATCAGTTTGTTGTATTTTTTTAAAACCCTTTTTACAGCAATGTTTTGATGTGATGTTTCTGGGTTAAGGGTTATATTTTCTCGCTTTAAAGGGGAGGAGATGTGCAGTGGGGAGGAGGAGTGTCTTCCTCTTTATGCTCACAGAAACACACTTGTTTTACTATTTTCACAAACGGATCATTTCAGCTGAGTCATAAATTATTTGTAAGGATTAACAGTAAAGCCATGCTTCATCTGGTAATAGGCTTGCTGGTCTGGTTCTGTAACCAGAGCTTTGCTCTACCCTTTCAAAATGGTAAGTATCTTTCTTTAATTTTGTTTAAAATCAATCTGTCACAGTTCAAAACTGTTTTAGATATTTTCCAACTACAATTAGTTCAGCCTTTCACTTATTTGGGGATTTGAGTGCGATGCTCAGAGCACTTATTACCTTCTTGTTAAAAGTTAATGTAGCATCCGTGCACAGTAATGTGGTCTTTTGGGTTAGTGGATGAGTCCATCAGAGGAAACGCTTCTCACCTCACTGGGAGGAATGAGGACAAATTTAACCAGATTCAAATGATTTATGGATCGTTTGCATGTATTGAACTTGTGTACATTATTTTTCCTTTCTGGTTAAAATGTTGATTGATATTTATGGCCCAATATCTTTAAGCAAATAATGCTAATAGCTGTAATGTCAAAAGAAAGGAGTTGAACTAGTTTGATTTAGCTTGCTTATGTTGCTAGTCTGTTGAGGAACCCCAGTCTTTATTTTTGCCATGAGTCAGACGCATAGTCGTACCCACAGAATGTGCGGTGGTGAAATGAAGCTGGGAAACCCTTGACCTTAAATAAATCGTGCCATTTGATTGGGTCATTGCAGTATCTTGGACCCATCCGTTCTTGAGTTTTGATGGTTTATGACTATTTTGCTGGTGGCATGAAAATGAGTGTGACAATCATTTCTGGTTTCATTTTGTGTCTCTCCAAAGACTCTGTGCTGCTGCCCCGGACTTTCTCCGGTCACTTTGTAATGGTCACTGATGAGCCCCCAGACTACCTTGACCTATCTGCACTGGACTTGTTGAGTGACGACGGGGGCTCGGGCCAGGAGATGGAGCAGCAGTCCGTTAAAACACATGGCCACCACCACGGTCAGCAGCACCCCCCGAAAAAGCTCTATTTTGTCTCGGAGGAAACCAAAGGATTTCTCCAGGGTCGCCTGGCAACAAGCTTCGTCCCCACCATTTACACCCTGGTCTTTATTATCAGTGTGCCCCTCAACCTTGTTGCCGTGGTGATGTTTGTGCGTTACATCCGTCCCAGGAAGCCGGCGGTGATCTACATGTTGAACCTGGCCTGTGCTGACCTGCTGTTTGGCCTTCTTCTTCCTTTCAAAATTGCCTACCATTACCATGGTAACAACTGGATTTACGGCTCCTTCCTATGCACAGCTGTCACGGCAGCCTTCCACTGTAACATGTACTGCTCCGTCCTGCTGGTCATGTGCATCGGCGTTGACCGCTTCCTCGCCGTGGTTTACCCCATGAACTCTCTAACATGGCGCAGCCCTCAGACGGCTTCAGCTGTGTGTGTGGCCATGTGGCTCTTATCCCTGGGAGGGGTGTCCCCCATCCTGATCTCGGAGCAGACCGTACACTTATCAGACCTCAAAATAACCACCTGTCATGATGTGCAGGATGTGGAAAAGCTTCAGTCCTACTATCTGTATTTTTTCCCCATCTACTCCTCCGTGTTCTTCTTCATCCCGTTTATCTTCACGGCGGTCTGCTACGTACGGATCATTCAGGCTCTGGCGGCGGCCAACGTGGAGAACCGCACCAAGAAGACCCGGGCCATGGTGATGACCGTCGTGGTGTTGCTGGTGTTTGCGGTCTGCTTCACGCCCACCAACATCATCCTGATGATTCACTACGTTGGGCTGGCTCACAGGTCCAGCGACAGCTCCTACCAAGCCTACCTGCTCTCCATGTGCTTGGGCAGCATCAGCTGCTGCCTGGACCCAGTCCTCTACTACTTTGGCTCCTCTCAGTGCAGGAAGCGGGTGGCAGTGCTGCTCAGGTGCGGGCGACTTGTACACGTGGGAAGCAGCTCGGAAACGCACAGCACACGAACAAAGGGATCCACACACAGCACCCGATCGTGCAAGATGGAGGGCGATCAGACTGCTCTGGGGAGTCAGTACAGCAGGCTGGTGGCCTGAGTTACAAGACTGGAGGAACTCGTGTTTGAAAACAGCTATTAAACATGGACACTTCTACAGAGTACAACTTCATAGTCCTTCTGTTGAATCATTAAATGAATGCTGAAGTTGAACAATAGGGCCATTTCCACTCCACGTCCACGATGGATTCATGTGCAATATACAAAGCCATGTGGTTATATATCAACTGCCATTAGCTGAATTATTTTTAATGCCAGCATAGCCGACTATTCTCTCCTCAGAAAATGCCACACTCTTCTTTTCAGTTAATTGTGCAAATGAAATACTGTGTCTGTATTAGTTTTAATCTAAAAAGCATTACATGTGATAGCTATAGCCGATATGGTAATTGCATTTTCTTCATGTTTTAAACAACTGTTATGGATATGATTTTTCTCATCATGCATTTTGGAATTCATCCTCTTCTTTTACATGATTCACAGGCAGCTGACATGAAATAAAAAAGTGGATAATTGGGAATGCCATGTTTTGCATAGGAAGCACACCTCCAAACACCCTGTCAGTTTGCTAAATTATCCACGATTCCTTTAGTTTTTTATTAGCCTTTTAAGATACATGAAATATTTCCAAGTAGAGTTTAAAATAGATTTAGACCCCAACAAAAGAAAAAAAAGTTTGGAGACTCTAAATGACTGCATTTGAATGGCAGTTTCTAGCCCACTGCCTCCTGTATATCCATACGGTCTGTTTCAGAGCAGGCAGCCTAAAAGTGTGTCATATTTCTTCGCTTCCCTGGGCCTTCAGCTATTGCTGCTCTGTGTCTTTGCTGTCAGGGCACATCTCTGAAAAACAGAAAAGAAAAAAAGATAGTTTTTAAACACAATACTCGGAAAAGATTCGAAAAAAATATTTTCCTGAGCAGAAAGAGGAATGTTGGCATGAGTCTGCATAACAAAGGCAAAAACGTTATTCATACCAAAGGAGTAAATTTGATAAGCAAAGATCTCCACCTTGTGGCTTTTATGGATTGCTGTGAGCCGCTATTAACAGCTCATTGAGGGGACACTGACCTGTCTTGTTATCATAGCTGTGAAACCTCTCTGAAAAGTTCAGACACTCTGCTTGTTTCTTAAAGAGTTCAACGTCGTTGGGATCTATTTTTCCTGTTCGTGCTGAAACGGATGGGGAAAAAAAAGAGAAAATATCAACACAGTGACTCGGTGTGCTTAAAGCGTAGAAAAAGAGCAGAACTCACTATAAAGGAGGATATTTCTGCCAACAAAGTCCCCATTTCGAAAGCTGTCCGTCCACAGCAGGCAGTCGGGGCAAGTCGGCAGAAGGTGTCCTTTGTGGTCGGACAGGTTTTCTGAAAAAGAAAAAGAGAGCACTGTGATTGATTACTGCTTTGTGTCTTTGTGTGGAGGTGTAGTTTGATGGATCAGTGTAAAGATGTGGAGGACATACTGCGAAACGTGGTGGCAAGTCCTGACACTGTTGCATTTACTTCCCCAAACACGCAACGCTGGCTGAATAAAAGTAAGAGAAATGTAAACATTTTCAAAATGTTCATTATAAATGCGGGACAAAGTAAATCACCCAACTCACAAGCAGTGATCTCCCCATCGTAAAGCCACAATCTGACTGCTGGAAGTAGGAGACAATTCAATCCAGGAGCTTTTCAATGATCCCAGGGCATGGTGGTATGGAATGGGGTCCCCCACTCCCATGGTGTACACCCATTTTCCTGTTACCTTCAACAGAAAAAGATGCATCTGTACCAAGGGTGTGATGCAACACTAGCCAGACACACTTCATTATCGTCGGGATGATCATTGGAACTGAAAAACAACATAAACACAACTTACTAGTTTGAGGTCCTCGGGCATATAAGGTTTGACCAGCTCCTGGCAGTCCGGCGCAGATGCAGCAGTGAGGGAAGCGAGTGCCATCAGGAAAACAAAAACGTGAAAATCCATGGTCAGGCAGAAGATGTTGCCGAACCTGCATCAGAAATGTTCTGACGCTGATTCATTTCCCCTTGGGGCTTGTGCACAAAAGAAGTCGTTACACAAGGGGTGGTGGGGGAGGAGTTGGGGGCTGAGGTGGAGGTGTCTGCATGCTCAGATGCTCCAGTAAAGCTTTTTTTTAATTGTCCACTCCGGAGCCGTGCAGATTTCTCTTTCCACAGTTCAGACAGGCCAGCTCAACGGCCCTCTGTTGTTGGGTCTGAATGGGCTCGGGCAAAGCGCCACAAACCGTTCCGGACCCCTGACATGTAAAAAGCCCCTGATGCAGCTTTTCAGCAGTGGGGTAAAGGTTGCTTCTCTGTGGGGTTGTGAGGATTCCTTGCAGAGGCAGCTTAAAAGATCTCTTTCTTCCCTCAAACAGGGATGTTACCAAGCAACAGTTGGCTCAACACTCATGCCTTTTATTGGCACTATAGTTGTTTTTTAAATGGTGTCATACTCTGGCAACTTTATTTCACTTAGAAAAACTGACAGTGCTCTTTAAATGGAAGAACGGTGTTTATTGTCACAAACAGTAAGTGGATTATATTGAGATATTATTATACTAAAACTAAAAAGAATTTACTCATGACATGATACAGGCAGGCATTTAACTCAGAAATAGAGAAAGAAAAAGGAGTATTCCATGCAAAACCTATCACTTAACAGGACAATTTAGTGCATGTTAAGCAGGAGTTCTACAGGTCTACGGAGCTTTCATGCAGAGCTGGGCCGTTTTATTTTTCAGTCGGCTGCGCCTCCGTTTCATCATTCTCTGTATTTTCAGCCTCCGGCGTCGTAGTTTCCCTGTCGTCTGGACACAGATCTGTAATGAGGGAAAAATAGTAGAATCAAGACAGCTGAATGTGACGTCCAGCAGCTGCGTGGCAGGAGAAAGCCAGAGGGGCATCTCACCTGTGCCCCCAAAGTGGTACTCTGGGAGAAATTTCAGACACTCTGCCTGCTTCTTGAAGGTGTCCAACTCAGATGGCTCCAGAGTGCCCGTGCGTGCTTTGAAACGGGAGCAAAAGAAATAAGGGAGGGGGTAAAAAGCAGGAAGAAAGGAATCAAATACAAATCCCTCCTCAAATAAATTATCAAGGAGAATGAACAAATATATACATGTTTGCATATGTAAAATAACTTACTGAAAAGGAAAAGGTATCGTCCCTTTGACTTGCCGTCAGGGAGGAGAGTGGTGTCCTCAGACAAGAGACAGTCGTTGCAGGTTGTGTAATACTTCCCATCATGGTAAGAAGTATGACCATTGATGATGACTGTGAAACGTAAAAGTCATTGTAGAGCGAATTATTCTGTTTCCTCTAAATACTCAAAGTCAAAGTGTTCAAATGAACCAACATTAAGGTATGACAGACCACAGTGGCAGAGAAAAACACAGTGACATTTTTCAGAGCACGTACAGGTGGTGTGGCTGGTGGTTCCTGAAATGGTGCCGTTCGCTAGTCCCTGAACACACTTATCTTCATTACTGTGACCAGAAAAGGAAAAACAATCAATATCAATCAACCTCAATTCAATTCAACGGGACGTTTCGGCTCAGTACAAACAAGCGATTGCTTTGATGAGCGTTTTTTTTTTTCATGATGAGATTAAGTTGCTGATCATTTGCAATTGTCCTTACAGGCGGTCAGCCCAGTAGATGGTCATCACGCCACTGTCTGAGGATGCTGACAGCTCCACCCAGGAGCTGTTGACCGACACCAGGTCACTCTTCAGCCCGGGCTCATCCCACGAACCCACATGCAGCACCCACTTCCCATAGATCTGCACACAGGCGCGTAAGAATTATCATCAAAATTTACATTGGAAACACGTTTGAGCCACAACTAAAAAAAAAATTATACAAAGCACACTTTACGCAGACAGACATAAATAAGGTATTTAAATGGAAGCTTCTAAATCCCAGTGACAAACATACACTTTCATTTGTAGAGGAGGTCTGATTAGTGAGACAATCTGCTTGTTTGGAAAAATATTTGAAATTTGTTTCTGCAATAAACCTTTGAAGAGATATTGATGCTCCCATTATGTGAATTACAAGATCTCAATCTGTTTTGTTAAGTCATCATTTTGTCCAAGAGACATAAAAATGCTTTACAGTACGACTACATTTCTAAATCATTGAAATACAGGCTGCTTTCATGCTGCCGGTATTCACAAGGCATTTCTTTAACTGTAAGGGGATATCTTATCTAACATGGAACTCACACTGGTACATTTTGATTAGATTTGATTAGCCTCCTCACACACGGTTTTGCTGATGGTACTCACAGGGCTGTGGCTGTCCAGCAGCAGGGGCTTGACCAGCTCCTTACAGTCGGGTTCGGCTGCGGCACAAAGGGAGGCGAAAGCCAGCAGGGCAGCGAGCATCTGTGCAGCCATGGCTCCAAACAGCAGGCAGCCAGAGAGCAACGACTAATGTCAGGGATCCTGCTGCCAGCCACAGCCCCTTCCCGGGAGCGAGGGATGGCTTCCAACAGGGGGTTGGGCCACACACACACAAACACACATACACAACTTAACAAAGACTGACAATTCATTTATCAGAAACTCTCAGAAGATATGCATTTACCTGTTAATTCCAACAGGGATAAATATGACCTGTTAGCAAATATTCACATGTTCATGAATTATATCATGAGATTGCAAAATAAAATATTATGTCTCCACAACAGTAAATTACACACACTCTTATTTATGTCTGCAAAAAACACTTAACTTTTTGCCTCCACTCAGGAGGGATGTGTGTCCTATTTACCTTGTTACATAATAACCAGTTGGCAGCGTCTGAATAGCAGGACCACTGCATCGCTCAGCAAGTGAACACATTCTTATGCAATGCCTCAGCACAAAGGCAGAGAAACAAAAAGCCTGACTCACAAACATGGAAACTCTCTATTTTTTTGGTTGTCTCCTTTTGACATCAGTGGCTCGAATAGCTGTTTTTCTGCAGCGATTATCAACCACAGATGGGATGGATGAGGAAATGTTCTGTTTGTTTATGAGGGATTCTTCATCATGCAGATGGAACCAGCTCAATCTTGTCTGAAATGAATCCACACAGAGCTCAGCATGTTGCACACGTCCTCTGCCATCACAACGGCTGATTTGTTTCCTGTTGTCTCTGAATTGCCCAAAATGAAGGAGATTGCACAAGTTGAATACCTGAGCCAAAACCAACAAATGGAATATCTGAAATTTTGAGAGAGAATATCGCGGAACTTTTGTGGTAATGTGGAAGGACAAAGAACCTTTCTTTTTCTCAAAGTACAATGCTGACTAACTTTGTAGAGAGCTATGTTACAGCAGAAGCATTTCAGTAAAGTAGCAGAAGGTTTAGCTCTTTGGTTTAATTTACAACTGTGTTTTTTAAAGAAGACATCAAGAAAGATGGAATGACAAAGGCGTTCAACTAATGAGGAAAATTTTTATTTAGTATAAAAAGAGAGGTAAACACGTACAAGAAAAACCTTTTACAATGCCAAAACCACTCATTTAAATCATTTAGAAAATACACTGATCAATGTAGTCAAGTTGACTCTTAAATCTGACTTCAAACGACAGTGATGATTTTCATTTTTGTCCAGTACCAGAATAAAAACAGTGGCATTTTCTCACTTTGAATTTTTATGTAAAATCAACAATAAGCATCAACTCCAATTATAAACATGTTAACCAGACTTCTGAGTATTTATTTCCCTCAGTCAACACTTCCATGTTTTGATTTAATCAGTCAAGATATAAACCACAAGTTAGTCGGTTAAGACCTATTTAGGACCTTTTTAAGAGTGTTTTTTTAAAGAAAAAAAAGAACAATCTTATAATTCAGGACTATTAGGACACCATGTTCCCGGTGAGCTTTTCTTGCCTTCTCATAGCAGGTTCTGCGTGTCCCGTTGGCTCTCAATGCTGCACAAGATGTTTGACTTCCTTCTGTCACAGCGACTTTGGCACATTTTTGGGATTGAAAGAACTTGATTGAGTTGATTTAAGTAAGATTAATCAGATAGAATCCATTATGTTCCAGTAAACTTTGTGTCTTCCTCACTTCAGAGTTAGACATAGCCGGTGTCTTTGATTGGACCAGTGGCTCTCACTTTGCACATGCTTTCACATTAGATAATGTTATTAGACAGCCATGAAATTCCACTGCTATAGAGTTTGGGTTTTTCATGAAGGCCGTCATGAAGCCCCTCCCCTCATTGATATGTCGAACAGGAAATGTGAAACCACACCAGCACACAGTGGTTGAGAATATATTTACATGACTCATCGTTTTACACACAAGAGGATAAAATGTTTATGGATATTTTCTCAAATCTAAGAAAAAACACATCTAAACACTGATGTAGCAACAACTAAAAGTACTTCTGTTAGAGGGCATAGTGGAGGTGATGACAAGCGTTTTCACTACTGCTCCTCAGTCTTCACTTCAGGACACAGTTCTGAAACAGGAGGCAAGTCAAACCTGATTAAACACTGTATAAAGTTGTTTATGTTGTGATATATAAAGAGAAAATGAACTTATATTATACCAGTGGTGTCTGGAAAGTAGAAATCCAATTTGATGTTGAGGCACTCAGCTTGTTTTTTGAAGACTTCCAGTTGAGAATCATCAAGTTTCCCCGTCTTTGCTGGAATTTAGGTGGAACAAATGGAAAGTTATTCAAAAACTATCCATAGCAATCTGATGCTGTTTGGGTTTTGAACTTGAGGTAAATTAATTTCAACTCACTGAAGAGGTAGAGGCCCTTGGTTTTTGTCTGTTCCCCATTAGCCTCTGACACCGCTTCGTCCATCCAAAGGACGCAGTCAGGACACGTCTCCAGATACCTCCCAAAATGCTCATAAGACGTTGAGTTAAAAAGGACTAACAGAAGATAAAAACTGTTAGCAACTTGAAGGAGTTTGCATATTAAAGTCCAAATTCTCATACGCTCTCCACTTACATGTAACTTTTGTTAAGTTTCCTGAAGGTGTGGAAGAAGCGTTTCCATATACACATTTTCCGTCACTTGCAAAGACAAACATAAAAAGTTCATGAAAATGAAACACTTCATGCACTTTTGTAATTGAAGGTGAGACTTAACAAATGACTCGATCTTTGAAGATGACTCACATTCTGTCTGCGTAGGTCATGCTGAAATCACTGCTTTCAGGTGTAGAAAAAATGGTCGACCAAGAGCTATTAGAGATCTTCATTTCTTTCAACAGTTGTTCGTTGTCTGAGGCTAGAATTTGGAAAATCCATTTCCCATAAATCTAGAAACCAAAACAGAAAATTCAAACCCAATCTTCAGGTTAATTGTAGAGACGCCCCACGAGGGCAATGGTTTTTGTTTCCAGTGTAGTTTTTCCCACAAGTACAGGAAAAAAGATGGGGGCAAAATATTCAGCTTTTTACTTTTTAGTCAATCCTCAGAACAACATACCTTGCTTTGGTCCTCCAGAGGTTTGATATGCTCATCACAGTCCGGTTCAGATGCAGCGCTCAGCGAGGAGAGAGCCAGCAAAGCTAAACAAAGGTGGACAAACATGTTTAGAAGTCAAATGACAGTCAAGAGGAAGCAACAGCAAGAACAGCACAACTGGGCACTTGCAGGACGGCCTGAAAGAACGAACAGGGAGACTTTTATACAACAAAGGGAGAGGGATGGAGGCGGGAGGGGTCTGTGTTGTTGTGGGGTTATGTAATTGAGGCCCAGATATTACATAAATCTGCCATATATACAGTCTTTTTTTAATCTATTCTCATATATATAATATTCTTGCCAAGGTTTAGTTTGGCCCAGGGAAACTGTTCCCCCCTCTCTGTAATATGATCCCAGCAGTGGGGTAAGTGGCTTGGAAGTAAAAATGGGGAAAACTGTTGTGGAATAATAGAGGACAGGACTGCTGGATAAAGGAACAACCGTGATTTATTGGTTCGGAGGGGTACTGGACGTACCAGGGAGCCGGGAAGAGTACACAGGGTCCAGGTGGATGTGCCAAAAGTCCAAAGGGGGGTGAGGTGTCCTTGGGGAGCAGGGCTCGATTGTGGGCTGAAGGTAGATCCAAAGCAAGACAAACTTCGATTCGTATCTCCGTGAAGTAATCATCTGGCGTTAAAAACCCGGAGAGTGCAGGCATGTCGAGGGTGCCTGATTGTCAACAGGCTGTAGGTGTGATGCTGTGCAGGCCTCCACCCTGAACCTGCCCAGGCTGAAAGACGCCAGCCAGCACCCAGGGACCACAGTTAACCACCACAAAAACATGCCAATAAGCTCTGTGGTCCCATTTCTAAAACTGAGTCCTGCACATGTATCCAGTATTATGTAACAGCTTAACCTTTGTGTGCACATTCAAAACAGTCTGAACCCAAACCCCACTTTACAAGCTCTACTGGTGAATTATCAGCACTTGGATGTACAGAAAGTACAATTTGTTATCTTTTGATATTAGTTGTGGGTAAGGCATGGCCAATAGATAAGACGTCAAGTTCAAAAGAATCTCAGAATTCAAAGTCAAAAAGTGAGTTTGTTGCATCAAAAGGCATTTTAAAAAGTGATGGGAAAGGGGAATTTTCCTGGCAAGAAGACAGTCAGCTATGATTAAGTGTAGAATTTAGCTGTTTATACTCATACAGGCAGAAGGAATTTGAGGTCCTTACCTGTAGTAGATACAGTATCTAGTTAAAAAAATAGCTGATGACCACTGTTGGGTAAATAAGGCAAATCATGAGAATCTTCCTGCAAAGTACTCAGAGGAGCTTTGGAGTAAATTAGAATGAGTTCATTATTTGAATTTCATTCAGTTTAATTAATTACAACTGTACTCCCATGTTGTCACTTTCACTGCCTTCAAAGACTAAACACGTATTTCATCTTTAGAAAGTCATTGCCCCCCTGGACAGCAAAAAAAAGCTCTTTACCCTCAAACAGCAGGTTCACATTTGGTTCTTAAGCATTTAGTCATTTGCGCTATTTTCTGCAGAATAAGCTTCTCGTCTTGGTTCCGGATGCAGACATCCTCTATTTGATAGGTCTTATAATGAGGTTGTCTAAATATTGCACAACCTTTTCCTGCCACCCGTTCACTGGTTGTTACCTTTGCTCTAATTATTTCTGGATTTGCATATTTTTGCACACTTTCAATTATGCTTGCTCAATTATGTGTCCCTATTTAGCTACCTCAAAGCAGGGTACATTGACTTAAGGTGACGATAATGCAGGAATATGTTTAATTGTCCTCATTCTTAAAATTACGCATTTTTCCCCGAATTAAATAAAGTTAAGCGAAGCTGGTAAAAGTTCAGATTTTTCGTATTTCTTCAGCATCTTCAAAAACTGCCCTAAAGCTCACCAGCAGAATTGGTGTTGGGTAAGATCATGACTAAATCATCCCTTGTTCTATTTGCTATTGTTAAGAAAACATTGTAAAACTGTTGAGCAAAAGGAGCCTGAAGACACAACTTTGGAATCTGGTTTGCAATGCCAAATATGGCATGAAATTCTCACCAGGTGATATATGACGCACTGGACACACTCATTTAGGGAAGAGAAGCTTTATACCAGCATATTCAAAACCCATGAAACTTCTCTGTGTATTTACAAAAACATAATACAAGATTAAAAAAGAGAAAATGAACACATCACAAATGGAGTCCCACATACTGCCACAAAACAGAAACATGATCCAGTTTACAGATGCATCTTCTTGTACTCCCATTTATGGCTTCAGTCGAACACAAAAACAAAATGTCTCCGTTCAGCAGTAATTCTCAGTCCTTCGCTCCGATTTATATTCAAATAATAATAACAATAATATCAAATACACATACAAGACAGAGGAGCTACATTTGTGAGCTGTACACTTTGCAGTAGAGGAGAAAGGAGAGGGGTCACAGGGATATTGAATCTTTATACAAGATAACAATTAGTTGTGGGCGTTGAAGGAAAAAATTCCAACCTTGATCAAAAACAAGCTTATCTTTAGCTTTCTGTACCAACCAATCTTTTATATTACACTAAAATCACAGTTTAGCCGGATGACAATTAAGTACGAGTGACCAAAGGGGCTTTATAAGCATGTAGATTCCCACTCTAACCAATCCTCTCTTTACTATTTCTTAATTCAATACTTCACATGGGATATGATATGCATGTTGCTATTCCCGTGGATGTACTCTCATGAATCATTTAAAAAAATTAAAAACCTCTTCTGTAGAGATTTTGTCCAATGGTGCTGTGAAAAAGCATACTATCCACAAATGGTTGAAATAACGTCTTCGACTGAACACAGAAAAAAACACGTTTAATAAAAAATAATTTACTGATCTGACATGATTTAAAGGGAGACTATGCAACATTTGAAAGATGATGTCTTCAGGCTTATAGACTTTCACCTTTACATTTGTAGCCAACTGTTTAGCCAAAGTTCATTGTAGGTAAAAGTACTTTTGTCACTGTTTAACTTACAAATAAAAATGCATAAACATATTTGTGGTTGTGTTGATTTTTTTGTTAATCCAGATGAATGCTGACTTTGGATGGAATTCTCCTCTTTGGGTGGGGCAGAATGAAAGATCTTGGCAAGATTTAAAAATTAGCTGTTTTTTTTTCTTTTCATTAGAGATTACAAAACGTCATCCAAAGTATAAATCAGAAAAAATAAAAAACAATGACGAGGCTATTTAAAGATCAAGACAACCACAAATTTTGAAACAGTGTCACAAGTATCTGCAGAAGATCCAAAAAAAGAAAAACAATAATCAAGGAAACATGAGATCATGATGTCTCTTCCCTTCTCCTAGTAACGGTCAACATTCATTCCTGAGACAGAAAGACAGAAAAAAAAGTTGACCATTTTGGCGTATAAATTATTCAAAAACTGTCTGGACACTTAAGTATTCCGGAATTTCATTTTTGGATATTGGATTCTGCGATATGATGAAAAAGGCAGAAACCTCTGCCCAATGTGTGTGCATCATCTCATACACACTGGATGCAAATATACAAAGAATTCTCCTCTGGCGTGTATCATTTTGTTTTCTTTGTACAGTCTCATGGTTGTAGGAAAGAACTGATGAATGAATGTAGCAGAGTCATCACTTAGAGGGAACAGGAGAGAAGAGACATGGGCAGAAACCATGGAGGGGGGGTTTGGGGTGCAAGTGGGATGTAGAAGGACGGTGCCTCGGGCGACTTTCCCAGGGGGGACAGTCGCTGGCCTGGATGACATCACATCATGTCTCTCTGCTCTTCCCTGATCCACGGCAGGGCACTGAGTGACTTCGTAAACTGCCTTCAGAGGCTTCACACGCTCATTGTCATGTTTGGAGAATACTGCAGAGACAAAACAGACAGGAGTGAATGGGCCTGAACACTGGTTACCTCATCGTTATTTAAAGTGCCTGAGTTGTTTTTTTCAGAAATAACCTGACATACATAACACTTTAAAGGTATCGTTATGCGATAGTGGGAGGGCTTTTTTTTGCCATGTTGTGGCAGAAAAATAGACCATCTCTATGGGAATGTAGCTGCTACAGTCAGCAGCTGCTTATCCTGGCAGTAAGACATAAAACCAGGCGGACACAGTCTGGCTCTGGTTTGCCAAATCCTCGCAAATCAATGTGTTACATCTTGTTTGTGGTTCCAAATGACTGGAGTGTTGGTGTCACTGTGAAGTATCTCAGCAACTGCTCAAATTAACATGCACAGATGATTCGAGCTACAGTTGGAGCTTTACCGGTCTAATTAACTTTTTCCAAGCAGGAAGGAGAATCAATTCATTGACAGAAGTCTGTCTGACCATGCTGTCAGAGTTGGCTATGTGCTGTCTTTCAGCTTGTATTGGGCTTTTTCTATCCGACCTTTTGCATAAGGAACCAAAACAACTGACAAGTACCTTAGGAGGTAGCATATCATTACCAAACAGGGCGAGGAATCAGGCAGTTCTATTAGTTATGTATGGCTTATGTTCATTTACAAACAAGTTTAATGCTCTCCAGTGGGGCTATATTCTTTTGTGACCGACCACTTCCTCTTCTGTATACTGGCATCTTTCACTATTTCTGGGTCAAAGCCGCACATGAACTAAGGAGCATATGCAGGGCACCTCTGCAGGTTTTCACAATACATTCAAGAGTGATCTGTCAAATCACACACACACATGAGACATCTGATTCTCAAAGATTTCAGTAACATGGTTACACTGATTTAAAAAGTTTGGTTGAACTCTGACAAACACAATAACAACAATCTAATAGTAGATTTGCTAATGCAAATGGCCTCACTCTCTCTAGCCAAGAGGTCCATCTAAACACTCAGGAGATTGGATTACTTACACTTTCATTCTGAAAAGGGTTAAGGAAGTTTCCTCCCATCTCTCCATCCTCTCTAGGTGTCCCTGGCTGGTTACTCATACTTAAGTTACCAGGAGAATTCTGTTCAATGGTAGGTAAAACATGGTTGAACAATGGTCAATGTCCATTTAAAAAAGTTTAACAGAGTAAAGCTGTGATCTTCTCTCACCTTGGGGAGACTGTCCATATCACCTGACCCTTGCACAGAGAGCACACATATGAGAATACAATAAAGATTAATGTAATTCCAGAGAAGCACAAGTTACTTATCTTTGTACCTAAAGATCCATTCATGTGATGGGGCTCCATTCCAGCCATTCCCCCTAATGGACCGTCACTTCCCGCACCCATAGGGAACTGAGAGGTATGCACACAGGAGACAGTCATGTAAATAAAAAATAAAAAAATAATTCAGAAGCATTACTTGTTTTGCCTTACAGGCTCTATGGTGGATTGACACAAAGGTGAAAATGTCTTACGTTTGGTCGGCTTCCTCCTGGAGGAACTGTGTTTATCATTGTGTACATGTTGTCACCAGAGTTAGTTGAATCTGACAGAACAATGAAATAAGTAAAACAACAGACAATAACTAACACATTTGTGATACGTTAGTGGACACATATGGTACTCAGAGCAGACCTGCTGGACTTGGCATTATGGGGGTACCAGGAGGCCCTCCTCCGCCTGGAGGTCCCTAAAATGAGAGTTTGGTGTTCAGAAGATTGATCCATGAAGTGATGAGTTAGATCATATCTAACAAGGAGAACAAAGTTTAAACTCGAATATGCATACCACATAACTCCCTGGAGATGCAGAGGAGTAAGGGGTCTATAAAAAAGGGAGAAAACATGAGAAAATAACCTCACAAAAAAACTTTTGTAAGGCCTCTTTGTTGAAGAACTTACCGAGTTTGAATTGGGAGGATTTGGCCAGGGTCGACCACCGCCAGGTCCCCTGGAACACACAAACACTGTTGGTTCTGATTCATGTGGGCAACGCTGGCAACAACAAGCTCTTCGGACGCCAGAGAAAGGTAAAGCATTCAAGAAGTGAAGGAAGAAAAACGGTAAAAGAGGTCCAAGCAGTGGAATGTTGCCTCCACGTTCCGCGATAAATTTTGTAGCAGAAAACAGCAAACAGCCACATAAAAGGTAAAGGCTGAGTGTGAGGGGGATTTATGTTGCTCTGCTTTAAAGAGAGAAACGCACCGACTGATTTACATTTTTGGTGGCAAAAGGGACAAAAAGTGTATTTTTTGTATGTATCACTAAGTGCATTCCTGTTCATACATGAACTGATTACTCACATGCTCATACCAGGCATCCCAGGTCCAACCAGGGCATTCAGTGGTGGCCTCATCCCCCCTCCATAATTCTAGTAGCATCAAAAACACAGTCAATCATGTCTCCAAGAGAGAAACTGAAAACACCATCACTGTCCTGAAATCCTTCCCTCCCTTACCTGGGGCCCTAGTGGCACCATGCCTCTGGGTGGAGTCATCCTCTGCATTGGTCCTCCCATATTTGGATGTCCTGAAGTAGAAGAAAAAACAGTCAGACAACTGCTCTGTCTGTATGAAATCCTCTTTTTGGCCATCGTTATTGGTCTTTTCGAATCTTATCATAGTTCTGGTTCATTTTAACATATTCATCTAATGTGCTTTATTTATCTTCTTTTAAAACCCAGCTCTTCAGTCATGACTTTTAGCTCTGAACAATTATTGAATAGATTTTCATCATTTTTTTAGTTTTAGGGAGAACTAAAGAACAACACAGATTTCAACAGGAAAATAAAGTCAACTTGACATTTTATATCCTTGGTTGCAGGGAAATTACAGCTATATAAAATTTGAAAAACAACAATATTTTTAAAGCCTTTAAGGACATGGCTTCTACAGTCTGTACAGTACAGATGTACAGTCACTAAGACGAGCAGATCCGCTTGTGCATACCTTGCTGTCGCGTGGGATCCATCCCACTGGGTAACATCGGCTGACCACCTGGAACTCCTCCAAGTCCCTACGGAGGCAAAAAGACCCAAAACCCACATTCATCAACTCAGTTAGATAAACAAAACCCATTCATGTGATCCAGGTGCAGCAGTCGGTGTGGGTCTCACCTGATTTGGTAATCTGAGGGGCGGTCTGGGTCCTCCGGGGTATCGTGGGGACATAAAGGGCTGGAAAACAGGAGGGCAGAGTTCTGAATGTTTGAGGATTTTCAGAATTACACAGACCAACAAACAAGCCTGACGACACATCATTATCGTAGCTGGGGTTTGGAGCCAGGAGATAAATCTGATGGTTTTCAGACCTGCTTTAATAGAAACCTTATGGGTGGCGCAAAGTAGTGGGAAAACATTTTCACTCTTCAAAAACAGGAAACCAACGCGGCCAGCTCCATGTGAGGTTTTTGTGCTCATTTTCCTCTGGTAGCAGTAGAATGGTAGCCGACCACATTTTCATTGGATTAAGTTTATGGAAAAAAGGAGAGGGAAGAAAGGATGACATTTTTAAAAAATAATGATGTCAGAGTTTGTGTTTAGTGTGTGGAATTTGAGAGCGTGCGCTCAAAGTGCTTTTGCAGCTGCAAGTGGGTTCTCACTTGTCCTCACCACAGACAGTAGCAATGCTGTTGCAGTTTCTGCTGGACTGCTGCCACCAGGCTCGTGCTGCTACAGCAATTACCAAATCATCCACTAGAGAGCAATGGTTCTCTTCCTTTGATCACGCCTGACCATTTTCACGCTGCACCACAGAGCTACAAAAGGAATGCAGCTCTTACACCGTTTGTCCATGTCAGGAATACATGATCTACAACCTCTCCAGTGCAGACTAAGAAATGTAAATATCAAACACCAACGAAGTGCCTGTAAAAAATGTTTGGAGCCAAATTTGGCGGTGATGAGCAGTTAATTACAAAACGTGGCTTCGTGGATATTCTCACCAGACTAAAACAAATAAATACATTTTAAAAAGCCCCAAAAAACGGACAACTGAGTCTAAACTAAATTGAAGCAACTGATGATCTGTCCAAGTCCTGTTAAAGTTTTTGAACAGGAACAGAAGAAACGCCTTGGAAGGCTATTGATCTTTGTGTCAGATGCCAGTGTCTGAATTTGACTGATAATGGCAGTTAGTCAATGTGCAACAGGAAGAGTTCTTCAGAAATGATGTGGGGCATTGCAGCATGTGGGTGTTTTTGTCTGCCTTGGTTTTATTCCTCATGTCAGGTTCATTTCGCTCCATGTTTTGGTGCTCCCACGCACAGATAAAGGCAGACTCTATTTAAATGCTTTTTCATTTCTCTCTGTGTTATTGCTACATTTTGTTCCTGTAAAAGATCTATAAACTTAAAAAATATATTTACCGCTATACATATGGAATTACTTGGAGAAGACACTGGGTTTGGAGTGACTGAAAAGCCTTGCTTGTACTTGTGGACTTTACTTGAAGGCGTCATCCATAAACCCATTTTTAGTGCATTTTTTGGTGAAAGTGACAAAAGGAACGAGAGAAAGATACATGATATAAACTCTAAAGATGTTTATTCATTCATTCTAATAGTAGGTTAGGGTTAAAATACCTGGTAAAATACATGGAAATAATAATAATCCCAATAGTGTGTGCATTACACTGCATACCTGGAAGAATCCTGGAGGAACAGGACCCACTGGCATGCCCTCTCCCGGTGGAAGGTTCCCAAGGACGGGGCTCGGAGCTGCTGCGGCACTCTGAAAACATACAACAAGGCTTTATCTCATACCTCCTCACATTTAAGGTGCTTTATTTGGCCGGTTACACTTTTAGATTACACTGTGCCAAGTGAAATTGAGCTTTTATATACTCGACAGCCGAGTTATCTACAGGATATAGCTATCCAGTTTGTTGTACTGTTAAAAGATTGTTGATTGTGATCAACAGAAAGAAAAAATGTTTTACTGCAAAAATTGCCACAGCCTCACCAACCCAAATGCTTAAACATTTATGCATCACAACTCTGATCATGCATGGCAAGAATATATTTCTTGTACAGCAAATATTCTAAACAGGCTTAGCTATTGTAAGAGCTACAGTGTATTTTCAATTTGCAATTAATCATTTGAATGATGCTGCAAGTTTGTTTTTACTTGACTTAATCTATACTGCAGAGCTAACAAAACCTTTACTAAACTTCCAATAATACAAAACAAGAGCCAAAGTAACAAATTAAACATCAACAAAATGACCAATTAAGGTCTTTCCCCATCACTTTCCTGCTCTCTTTCCCTCAGAGGGACGTTTCCTGTTTCTGCAGATGCCCAGCTATGCTGGTCCAGGTTTATTTTTATACATTGTGTTTTTTGTTGTGCATGTCCCAGACGGGTGGCGCTGGATCATTTCAGCAGGGCCTCTGTCTGCTTCCTGTGGTATTGTGTGAACCCCACGTTACACTGCCACCCAGTACTGGCCTCTCCCTCTCATCCTCTGAAGGAATACAGAGTAGACATCATGCAGAGTCGGAGAGTGTGCATCTATATATATGTTAATCTGTGGAGAGTGAGCACATAAAACTAGGACTTTTGCATTTGTGTGTCTATTTTCTCTCAATACCTGCCCACACTCCTTTCTGTTTTTCAGATTCCTTTCCTCATTTCTCACCCGTCTGAAAGCTGGGTGTAAAGAGCTCCAGCGAAAAATCACCCACGGTCTCTGAAGTTTCCGCCAGCTGACTTTTTAGGTCAGACAGGAACAAGGTTTAATCAGAGCTGAGATAAAAGCAGACTGACGACCCCCCCTATCCTCTGCAGCTCCACCCCTCCACCCTCACTGTTCCCTCCACCACCCTAGGCCTCCTTCACAACTCCCCATCATTAACGTTCGGCAACGAGGAACAGGACGCGCTGCAGCTTTTAGATTTCCACGTGCGGCCGCAAACACTGCCCGTGTTTGTCGGAGCAGACGAATGTGCAGATGGACACAGATGGATGTTGTGTCTCTGTGGTTCAGCAGCGAAAGAGCGGATTCAGTTTGTTTGTGTGTTTATGTGCGTCTGTGTTTCCACGGAGTGTGCAACATCATCCGCAAAATCCAGTGTTGTTTTCCTTCTTCCCCCACTCCCCTCCTCACACCCTGGATTACCCAGAATGCCTTCGCTCCCTGGAAGTCTGCTGAGTTTGTCTTCACGCACGGAGCAAGAGCGAGGGAAAGAGGAGGAAAGAGGACAAAGCGGAGATTATGAGCACGGAGGTGCGTGTGGCAGTGCATGTGTGTGCACAGGACCAGAAAAAAACAGAGGAGGGTAAAAGATATCTACCTGACCTGCTGATAAAGCAGAATTTTCCACACAGAGAAAAATAAATAAGTAAACAAATAGATGACAAATAAAAAAAAATGCCTGGATGCCTCCCTTCCCCCACACCAGCCATTCCATCAGCCAGGAAAGAAAACTTCCAACTTTATGAGAGCCACACTGAGTCTGGGCATTAAAGAAGATTTTTGGTTTCCAGTTTGTTCTTGAGGCCCTGCAAAGTCACTTGGTTTCCAATGTGATTATTGTGTAAAATTTGTGTAGTAAAGTCTGACAATGCAGAACACTCATTGGTTTCATATGGATGATTATTCCTGCACATATTACCATGTGGTGAACTAAAGCCAAAGCTAGAATTTGGCTCACTTAGTTTAGCATTTGAAGGTCAGTTTATATTAAAAATGACAACCCTCAGCACATCAAAAGCCTACGAATAAATGTCAGCTTAAACCTGTTCAATCTCTGTGAAAACTAGTTCTACATAAATCATTTAATTCTTCTAATGAATTTTCTGAATGACACAGCATCTCTGAAATAACCAAAGTTCAATAAACAAGGGAACAATGTAACATCTGTTATCACAGGATCACAGGATCTCATCTGATGGGAAGTGAAAGTAACAAAATACATAACAAATTCCCAAAAAGTTGGGACACCATGTGGAAATAAAAAAAGCAACTAAATAAACCAATACAGTTCACTAATGAGCATTAAGTTTACCTAAAACAATGCATAGTCAAGGGTTAGTTTTTAATGCTGATGGTCATTCAAACACTGCAGTCAATTGCTCTGAACCTGACTTCATTTTTTTTTTTTTTGCCGGTAAAAGACGGATTCAGATATCGATACAGATTATACACTGTTAATAAGGCTATCATTAACACCTATTGCACATCAGTGTTTGGCCTTTCCAGACAGGGCAAAGAGGAGGTGCCGGCTGGTGGTTTCAGTCACACCCGTGTAGTGTATCATAGTGTACATTGCTGTTTCTGTCAGTGGTGTTAAGCGCTGATCTGAAGGGGCATGTCTAACTAAACCTAGATCAAACCTCCTGCTGGCCTGGTATCTGGTTCATTACATGTTCAATTCATCCCATTTTAATACCATGATTGCTTTCAAAATTTTGAAAAGTAATCATTTTAGTAATCTTTTTTGTGACCACCAGGTCTCGCCCAATGCAAACTGTTCATAAAAACTAACTTTGAGTTATGTTTTGTGCAGCATGAAAATTCACATATGTCAACCACAAATGAAGTCAAGTTTAAACTGTTTAAAAGCCACTAGAGCTCTGCACATGATGCTCATTGGCTTGCAAAAGTATTGCCTCAGTTGGCATTTGTCCTTCAGATCTGTACGGTTTACATCTGTGGAATGTATAGATTGCAGTGATTCTACAGACAGACACACCACTCTTCAGGGTTACTTTTAGTTTCTTTGTTCACTCTCTTGTTAACAACACCTCCGTGCCTGGTCTGTCTCCTACTATTTGCTTCCCTTCCCTTCCCTTTTCTGCAATTTTTTTCCTTAAAATCATACCAAAATACACTTAAATAGCAGACTGATAAAAGGAATACCCTCCACTCTAAAGAAAGGAAGGTAATGGGTTTAAATAATTTTGTAACCAGCGCTTAAAATGCTAAAATAATAAAAAGTAAAAAAATACATCACTGCTACACAACCATCATTGTTTCACTTCTGAAGTTGCTTTTACTTGATATATGGAAAATTATCAACTCAAGCTGTGCTAACTCGCAGAATATACACACTCATATTTGCACACAGACACAAGAAAAAAAAAGTCGCCATATTTAGAGCAATTATACCACAGCTCACTACTCCACAAGTTAATTTGACTTTCTCCATCCTACATTCACGGTACGCTAATCCAATCACACTACAGGGCTCAGTAATACCTAATGAGATAACTTCCAAACTCCTTCATCCCTCTATGTTTACAGATTGTGTTCCACACCCATGTGTGTACCTGGAACATGTACACTTTGTGTGTGTGTATGTGTGTGTAGGTGGAGAGTCATTTTCATTCAATACTGCAGAGACTAAGAGAGGCACGTGAGTGGAATCTCAAAAGACAGTCTGTGCCCATCTTCTCTCACTGTCTGAACCGGCATCACTCGCTGTCTGCCCCCTCCACTTCTCTGTCTTTCTCAGCCACAAAACTCCCTCCCTTTCATCTTGTGTCTTCATATAAAAAGTATAAAACACACAAACGAGCCTCATCGCTATATCTGGAATTCCATTGATCATGCAAGCTGTACATTATTTTGAATATATCATACAAACACACACACACACACACACTGTGCAGCTACATTGACCAAATGTGTAGATAAACACAAAATAGCAGCTAGAATAGTACTTAATAAGGAAATGCACTATAGTGCTGGATATTTCATTTAGCTGACCCAACTGAAATAACATGTTTGATTATCTTATTCAGCCCTTTCACTCTTATCCATCACCACAGTCATAAAATCATCCTTTTCGCTTTTTCTAATAATATAGTATATTTTTTATGTATTTACTATATAATCGGAAATATATTTACACAATGCCTACAGTGTGGCTGCACAATGTAAAACTACATTCTCTAAATTGAAACAGCACAGCTCTACAGTTAAAAAAAAAAGCTTAGGTTCTATATTTACATTCCAATCATCCTAACCTATCATTCACTGAACAAACAAACAAAAAGACAAATAAAGCCTGAAACACTATGAGGAGCACAAATAGGAAAACTTTTCACTCAGAGAATTACAGGAACTATTCTCCTCAGTTGCTCATGGAGTTCTGTTAAAGAAGAGGTGATGCAACACAGTGAATAGTAAACATACTTTCTACCAGCCATTTTTTGAACACACTGCTGTCATCCAACTGAAAATGAGCAGATCCATTTTGCAAAAATAAGAAACTAACTGGATTTGATTGGTTCGGATTGAAAATCATTGCCTTTTTCGGATTGGGGTTGGACAGTGTGTAGCTGTTTAAAGTGGCCAAAGTGGAATCTACGTTTCTTTAATCATTTGAATGCTTGTCATAAATAAAAAAAATACAAGGCGACATCTATTCCCTCTTGTTTTATCCATTGGTTTGTGTTCCCATGTGAGCCCTCTTGTTAGTCACCACAGTCAGTGTCCCTAACAGTGAGTGTGTCCATAGTTGTACCAAGTTTACATCACTGACAATCAGCACTGACATACTGACTGCAGCAGAAAGCCAAATGGTTGTGGAGGTTGGTGTCTTCTTTTCCAAAGTAAAACAGAATTGGAGAATCTCAGAGTTTAAGTCTGTAGGACTATGGAAGGGCTACATCTGTGACTCAACCGAGGTCCATCAGGATCTAAACACTATACAGGAAGGAACCACATCCCTCCTCCCTCTCCCTCTTTTCCACTCCATCCTCTCAAATGCCATTAGTCCACTTCC